TTTTCTATATCACCCATTTTAAATTCTGGGGCTCTTTGTTGCACATAAAATATTTATCTAACGGTGTTATAATCTTTCTGCCTAGAAATAACTCAGCAGGAGTTTTGCCCGTTGTATCATGTTTTGCGGTCCTAAGGGCGAAAGCAAATTCATTGACATAGTTTATCCCAGCTTTTATGAAAATTTTTTAACATAACTACGGATAATTTTCACTATATTTCTGTTGACCCGTTCCGCTATATTTGATTGCGGCCGATACGGGACCATTTTTAAATGACGTATGCCCAGTTTTTGGCACATGTCTTCAAATATATTACTTACAAATTGAGGACCATTATCCGATATAACTTTTAGGGGCGCCCCGTATTTTAAAATATATTTATTTAAAATAGAATCAGTAACTAATTTCGCGGAGGCTCGTTTTAAGGGGACAATTTCGGTCCATTTACTAAAATGATCAACCATAACAAGGAGATAGCGACTTTTATTTAACTGACTTTTTGGGAAAGGGCCCAATAAATCGATGCCAATTATTTCATTTGGAAATTCGGATTTAATACTATTTAGAAACCCGGCCGGGCGGAAATTAATATAATTAACGGCTTGACATGTTGGGCAGGACTGGACATACGCCCTTGTTAACTTTTGCAGTTCAGGAAAGTAGACTGCCTCGCGTACGCGTTGGATAGTTTTTCGAATACCAGCATGAGAAGCTAAAGGGCTGTCATGGAGCTCTTGCAGGATATTTAATCTAAGACTAGCTGGGGATAACAGGTCGAAATTCGTTGTTGGAATTCGTAGTTTTTGTGTAGAATAATAGACCATCTATTAGTTCGTAATGGGCCGCCCTATTTCTTATCGCCACAATATCTTGGTGGCTAAAATTTTCAGGATCCTTCAAATACTCATAAATACTTCCAAACTCAGGATCCTTACCCAGTTCGGTTATTACAGTTTCTCGGGAATTTATTGTACACGCTGTAAGCATTGCAACTTTTACGGTATTACCCTGTTCGTCTAATTTAATTCGTGTGATAGGGCATCTGCTACGATATTTTCCTTTCCGGGGGTATGCTTGATTACCAGATTATATTCTTGCAGCTTGAGTGCCCATCTTATTAACCTTGGGGATAAATTTTTCCCTGAGTACAATCTAGTTACCGCCGCATGATCAGAATATACTGTTATCGGCGCCTTTCCAAAATAGACTCGGAACTTTTGCACTGCTAACAGAACTGCAAGTGCCTCTCTCTCGGTCGCGGAATAGTTTCTTTGTGTTTGATTTAAAGTTCGGCTAAAAAATGCCACGGGCTGCTGATTTTGCGAAAGTACCGCTCCTACCGCATAATCCGAAGCATCCGCTGAAATTTCTAAATTTTCATCCTTTTCAGGAAATTTCAACACAGGGGCTTGCGTTAATGCTTGTTTTAATTTTTCGAAAGCACTATTGGCTTCGGCCGTCCACGAGAATCTTGCCTTTTTCCTTTTTAATTTTAACAATGGCTCAGCGATAGCCGCAAAATCTTTTATAAAGGACCTATAATATGAACAAAGTCCTAGAAAAGAAGAGAGCTTCTTTGCCGTGTTTGGAGTCGGATACTTTTGTACAGCGATTATTTTTGATTCATCTGTCTGTAACCTAAATATTTTAATTCAGGGGCTGCAAATTTGCACTTTTCGACATTAACTTTTAGACCGGCCTCATTTAATAAAGAAAACACCTGTCTTAAATCCTGTATATGTTGGTCGAGATTATCACTAGTAATAATGATATCGTCTAAATAGATAAATGTGGACTTTCCAAGAACAGGTCTTAACACAATGTCCATGCATCGCTGAAATGTTGCTGGGGCCCCTGAAAGGCCAAACGGCATACGCAAAAATGCATAAGTGCCAGACTTGGTTATAAAAGCAGTCTTAGGCACGTCCTCAGGCCTGACCCCTATTTGAAAATAACCATTCGTTAAGTCTAAAGTCGTCATAAATTTGGTTGATTTTATGTTCCTTAAAAATTTCTTCTATGATCGGTAACGGATATACCGGATATTTCGTTATGGAATTTAATTTACGGTAATCAATAGCGAATCTCCACCTTTTTGGATGCTCCAAAGGATAATCATTATTTTTCTTACATAAAACCACCGGGCTAGCATAACTACTTGAGATGGGCGTTATGATCTTTTTACGTAGCATATCGGTAATATGCCATTCTATAATTTTTTCCTTATTCTTATCATACCGGTATGGTTTTTGGACGAACTGGCAATGCATCTCCGGTGTCAATACTATGGTTAGTAACCTGAGTAAATCCTGGAAATATCACTAAATAAGGAAGCAAATTCACTTACCACTTGTCGGATTCTATCTTGCTCGTCATTAGGCAGGTGGTCAAGATTTAACCTTGGCGGTTCAACCTTTTCTTTACACGCACTGGTTTCATTGTCAGCTTAAGGGACGCTTCATTAAAATCCAGTGTTAGCTTGTGCCGTCTGAAAGAAAAGTCTATTCCTAGGAAATTAAATGTGCTTGCAAATTCTTTACTATAAAAAACATCACCTTTACTTGTTCGTCCTTGATACGGATGTACAAAGGTACTTTACCTACGCACTTACATTGTTCTCCTTGCGCGCCGCTAATACTGTTGTATTATCCGCATTATATATGCGGTATTTGCGAAAATACTTTCTAAAAAAGACTTCTGCCACACAGGAACACTGCGCGCCGGTATCCAGGAGTGCGGTGGCCGGGATATTATTCACCAAGACTTCAATCTTCGGAAGAGTTCAAATTTTTCACCATTACTGTATTTAACTTGTAGGAAGAGGGTTTTCGTGGCCTTCGGATTTCCGCACCCTCTCGTCAGCAGAAATCCGTTTTAGTTTAAATTATTTTTCCTTTCGGTGCTTTCCTTCTTTTCCACTGGCCTTGAGACTTTTTTCCTGGGTTGCTATTGAACTGTCGACGTTCGCCGGCTGTTTTTGAATGCTCGGGTTTCCTTGCCCACTGATTCGCTTTTTCTCCGTAGCCGTGTGCTTGAGTTTGCTGTAGTCTTGGCGTACCAAATTGGTTTCGCTGTTGATATTGGCGTCTTCTTTCGACGTCCGCCGTTCTTCTACTTTCAAACTGGATTGCTAGCTCAAATAACTTTTCCAGTGTAGTCGGATTTCTTAATTCAATAAAGTCTTGCACTTGGGGTAGTAACCTCGGCAAAATCACTTGAATTATTTCAGGATCCGGACGGTTTCCATACAAGAGCTTGAAAACGTGAATTTTTCTTAAAATAAAGCTCGAGAGGTTTTCGATTCTTTGTTGATATATACTGAAAAGTTCCGTTTCTAATTTCGCACGATCCCTTACAACAGGGAAGGCTTTTAGTAGGGCAGTCTTGAAATTTTCGTAAGTATAGGTGGGACTTCCTGCTTGACCCAAGAGACTTCTGCCGATACATTTGAACCAGTTAAGCGCTTGGCCCCTCAAAGCGCTGGTAGCTAAGGTAACTTTTTGAAACTCGTGCACGGGGTAGAGCATGAAGTGGTCATCCAATTTTTCCAAAAAAACTGGTTACCTGGTGAGTTTCCATTAAACGTTGCTTCTGGTTTCATCGAAGCGCGCATGGTCTGGACGATGTAACCCAAATCCTTCCAGGGCGGCAGCTGGCATTTCTGGATTCTGAGCCGTTTCTGCAGGCAGCACAGGTTCTTCTTGAAATCGGCCATGGTTATTCTTCGTCGGGGCGCCACTATCAGGTTCAATGTTTCTTCTAACCTTCTTCGGAAACATACAATGACCTGACTAGGAACAGAGAGCTTACTAAAGCTATGTTCACTAATTGTAGTAAGTAGACAGGATACAGACGAAGGGTATACAAAACCCTTTATTTTTCTTTATATACAATGACTTCCGTACTTCGGAATACAATGACCCTCCACTCGGGGTCTAACGTAAAAGGTATAAAAATAAAACTAAACTCTAATTTAACTTTAGACACGTGGAAGATTGGCCTTATATATAACAGGAAGCGTATGTAGCACAGAGACTGTGAACACTACAATACGTTTAATTTATCAAGAGGATTAAATTAAAACCTCTGGCCTGGAAGGCAAATAGCAACTGCGTAACTTCTAAGGTAAGCGGCCTGCTTCGAACTCACTGCTTCCTCTCTCTGCTTGGCAAAAAGGCCACACTTAAATACTTGGCGTTCGCCAGACAAACTTTGCATAAAATCCTTCACGCTTATAATTCTGGCCGGAAGTAGAAAATAAGAAGTGATAGTAAAGATTTAAAATAAAATAACGTTAGTAAAACTTAAGATCCTTACAGTATTCACATAAACAAACACTTAACACTACTTGAAGAATATTTAATAAAGTAACAAAAAAATACTAAGCTTTTTTTTTTTTTTTTTTTTTTTTTTTTTTTTTTTTTTTTGTAAATTTTGATACCCTTTGATCATAATTGTCCTTTATTTCATAAATTGCATTCATATTTAATTTTATAATTTCTGCATGCCATCTTACCAGATTTAAACTGATGATCTATAATCCGGAAAAATCGATAATCCGGAATCGCCGAAGTCCCGACGAGTCCGGATTAACGACTTTTGACTGTACTAAATTAAAGAGATAAATGAAAATAAAATTCTATCTGGATCTTATAATAACAGCAACTAGAAAAATAGAAAAAAATAATAGTTAGTAATCATAATCAAAGAAATGGATAGGATTTAATGTCCAAACGTGTAGATCAGTTCATATGAGTAATTGTTCATAAAACACTTAAGCTTAGGTAATATGTTCTGATGAAGTCCAAGGTTTCATAAATTCGGCGCAAGTACTTGTTTTCATGGGTTCATCAAAGAAACCACATTTTTCAACATCAAAAGTGTTATTTGGCTTGATTTTTCACGATTTTATAGGGTTCGAGAAACTTGGGTTTCAGTTTAAGATCAGGTATATATTGTGTACGCTTGATTGCCACTAGATCACGAAGCTTGAACTTACGGGATGGTTTACGTTGCAGATTGCAAGTTTTACGATTTTCAGCCTGAACTTTCAAAATCTGTTGTTTAGCTTCCTTGTGAAGATCATCACGAGCGTTGACGAAATCTGACTGGATCTCTGCATTTAACAGTTATGTAATTTTATGATGATTATTAGATTTCATTTTAGTTCCAAACATGAGTTCGAATGGAGTTGTGTTGATACTCCATTGGTATGTTGAATTGATTACTTGCTGAACTTCACCGACGTGCGTATATCATTTTGACAGATTTTGAATCGATAATTTGGAAAGAACAGAAATCATGACAGAATTCAATCTCTCAATTTGTCCATTGGCATGAGGAAGTAATGTATTAATTAGAATATGCTGAATATTGTTGGCTGAACAATAATCTTGAAAGTCTTTTGATTTAAACGCTGAGCCTTTATCTGAAACTATACGTGAAGAATTTCCAAAGACAAATTTTTGATTTTCCAATTTAGATATTACTTCGCTATCAGTAGATTTTGTCAGATAAAGCCATACAAACTTTGTGAGAGTCTAAACAGCAAATATATATTTGTAATTTTTATGAGTACTCTGGAGTGGTCCTAAATGATCAATGTGATATGTGTGAAGTGGTACATCTTGTTTGGGTATAGAATGCAACATACCTTCTTGTTTACTACATTTACGATTAATTAGTATGCAAGGAACACAATTAGCAATATAGTTGTCAATTTTATCTTTAAGTTTAGGAATATAAAATTCTAGTTTGACGAGTTCTTCAGGTCGTTTAGAAGTGAAATGTCCACGAAGATATGCATCTTTAATTATGTCACTCTGCATTGATTCTGGAACAACAAGTAATTCCTTACCATCGAGAAATTTATAAAGTATATCAGCTTTAACATAATAGCCATCATAAGGTTTAACTTTTAAGACTTCTTTGATAGCTCAGATGTGATCATCTTGCTCTTGAGCGTTTCGTAGTTTCAAAATGAGGCTATCCTGAGTGATGACCATAACAGAGAATCTGCTTAATGCATCAAGCATGTGTCATTTGTGTTCCAGTTCTGTGTTTTATATCGTAGTCGAAATCTTCTATCTAACATCAATGTCCAATGTGCTATTCGTGTATTTAAGTTTTTTTTGTTCATTGTCATTTTGAACGCTTTACAGTCAGTAATAATTTTGAAGTGTTTTCCTAGAAGATAAACTCTAAATGTTTTCAAAGCTTGAATTACAGCCAATACCTCAAGTTCGTAACTGGTGAATTTCTTTTCCACGTCAGATGTCTTTTTGCTCATGTAATAAACAGGATGTAGGCAATTATCAATCATAGACCTTTGCATGAGTATACAACCATAACCATGCATACTGGCATCAGTTTGTATTTCGGTATCACTGTGCTGATTATAGATGCTGAGTATGAGTTTTTCACAAAAACATTGTTTCACAAGATTGAAAGCTTTTCTTTCGTTGTCACCAAAGTGGAAGTCATTATCTTTCTTACCAGATGAAGGAAACTTTGTAAGTCTTTGTGACGTTTAGGTTCAGGATAATTAATAACAGCGGCTGTTTTAAGAGGAGATGGGAGCAGTTGACCATTTTCAATGACATGACCAGGGAATTCAATTCTGCGACTTAAAAATTTAGATTTCTTAAAATTAATTTCGTGTCCATAAGCGGATGCTACTGAGAAGACGGATTTCAAACGCTGAATCCCTTCATCTTCATCTTTAGCAGGAATTATTATATCATCTAGATACAGTAAAACATGACCTTGCAAGATTAAATCCTTGAAAACGGAATTTACAAATCTTTGTGACAAATGAAGTGTAATTTCGGCTGGTTTTTGTCGACACTAACATGGAAGAAAGCATTTTTTAAATTGGTTGTAGTGAATGTACGCGCATCTTGCAGTTTATCCAATAAGCCTTGTATTAAGGGTAAGGGATACCGATCTTTAACTACAGGGGTTGGACAAAAATATGGAAACACCTTTAAAAAAACACGTTTCTTTGCTTAATATGGTGCAGGAAACCCATTGGCATCCAAAACAGCTTGCAGTCTTCTCGGAATGGATACATACAGTTCCTGTATGTTTGCCAAGGGAATATTATACCATTCTTCCTGCAAAACGGTGGCAAGTTTCGGAGCGGGAAGTTTCGATAAATCAACGATGTCCAGACCACAGATTTTTCGAAAAGCAGACCTTGCATTTGTTAGCTGAATGCGCTTCTCTATAACAAAAGGACATATGGATGAATATCTTTAATTCCTTGCAAAGGGAGGTTCGGACAGAGAATTAAAAATACAAATTGCTCTTCTTAGTGTGAATGTGCCCTTATTTTAACATTAGTCTGTGTGCAATAATACTATCAAACAATGAAATAATAGCAACTACAACAGAAAACTGCTGTTTACTTTAGCTTAAGTGTTACCAGACAGTTTTATGTATATTCAGCTGAAATAAATTTAGGAAATCAAACTGAAGATTTAAGATGATGACATAACGAATATATCTGCATCAAGCAACATAATAGAATAGAAAAGAGGGAAAAGAGAAATCTATGCTCAAAATATTCCATCATTCAATATTTTGTTTTTCAATTTTGCGATTAGTTAGATTTTACTAACATCAAAACTGTTATTGCTTCGGAACACTTTTATGCAGCTGAAGACAGCTGAAGAATTTTTGATTCTTAAACTTTCTTTTGTAAATATTAATTAATTAATTTTTTATATTTGTTATTTATTAGTATTTTTTAGGTATTGCTAATTTTTGATTAAAGACTATTTCATATAACACTAGTTATTTACTTCAAGGGGAAAGTGGCATTCAAAGAAAACTTACAAATTTTAATTTACAAGAAAGGCTACAAATACTTACCAATATATTTACAAAAGGAGACAATAAAACTGGTAATTGATAAAAAAAAAAAAAAAAAAAAAAAAAAACTAATTCCTTTACCCATATTTTCCAATAATACTGATTTCTCGCTCTATCTATATACATATAATAAAAGAAAGAGTATATATGTATACAGGGGTTGGACAAAAATATGGAAACACCTTTAAAAAAGCATGTTTCTTTGCTTAATATGGTGTAGGAAACCCGTTGGCATCCAAAACAGCTTGCAGTCTTCTCGGAATGGATAAATACAGTTCCTGTATGTTTGCCAAGGGAATATTAAACCATTCTTCCTGCAAAATGGTGGCAAGTTCAGATAACGATGTTGGCGGTGGATAAGGAGAACGCACTTTCCGTTCCAATGTAGACCACAAAGGTTCGATAATATTCAGGTCTGGTGACTGTGGTGGCCAGGGTAAATGGGACAACTCATTCTCGTGCTCAAAAAACCAGTCCTGGACAATGTGAGCTAAGTGAACAGGGGCTTTGTCATCTTGGAAGACACCATCACCATCGGGGAACAAAGTTTGTACCATGGGATGAACTTGATCGGCCAAAATGTTCACATAAGTCTTGGCAGTCATGCGCCCTGACACAGTTATCATGGGGCTAGCAGAGAACCATGATATGGCTGCCCAAACCATAACAGAACCCCTGCCATGTTTCACTCTTGGCAACAAGCAGTCTGTATTATAGGCTTGAGATGGCGTTCTCCAGACGTAAACTCGGCCAGAAGTGGGAAACAATGTGAAAGAAGACTCGTCAGACCATATTACTCACTTCCACTGCTCTATAGTCCAGGCTTTATGACTTAAACACCACCTTTTCCTGTTACGGGCATTAGCATCACTGATGAGTGGCTTCTCAATTGCAGCACAGCCAGCAATTCCCTGTTTATGAAGCTCCCTTCTAATTGTTTTGGTACTCACAGGGTTCGGTAACACAACGTTCATTTCAGCAGTAACTTTTGCAGCTGTGGTCTTCTTATTTTTCGTCACAATTGCCCTTAATGATCGTCTGTCACGATCACTCAGGACACACTTTCGTCCCGCGTTGTGATTTAGCAGATGTTGTTTTATCGCTTTTCAAATATGCGGAATAAATCTTCGATACAGTACCTCTGGAAACACTAAACACCTCGGCTACCTTGCTTACAGAAGCACCTACCATACGTGCTCCAACAATTTGCCCACGTTCGAAGTCTGTTAACTCTGACATAATGCAATGACAACCTCACATAACAGTACTCCGACAACAACTGAACTGTTTAGCACATTTACAAAGTTGTATAGGTGGCGTCAGTAGTAAAAAATGCCAGCGCCACCTACATATTTCATTAAGATCAATCTTTCTTTTCAAACATGCATTTCACAAGGTGTTTCCATATTTGTCCATCCACTGTATTTTCTTGTTTAATTTCCGATAGTCAATACAAACTCTAGGGTTGCCGTTTTTTTGCATGCTACTACAACTTGACTAGAATATTCGGAAGAACAAGATTCAATTACGCGGCCGGCTAACCAAGTTTGAATTTTACTTGTCTACAATGTCTCTTTCGATAAAAGGTAATCATCGAGGTCTGTGAAAATGATCTGTGGTGTTTTACTTGAACAGTCATCTCAATGTTCACAGTTTTGGTTTTAAGAGGTCTGTAATCGGAGACAAGATTTTTAATAACTTGTTCTTTTGTAGCAGTAGCACCTATTTCTAGTTCAAATTTTTGATCAAGGGAAATATTATGGATCTACACCTCTTTCGGGTCATTTTGTTTAACAACATGCTTAGAAATAGGAACACCATCTTTGTTTATATTAACTTCACCTTGTTTAAGAATATCCATGCTAATTATAGTGTCAAATGGCATTACATTACTGTCAACGACATAAACATTAGTCGTAAATAATTTCGTATCTATTAAAATATCAACTGTAAAATAACCCATTGGATTAATTTTGTCATTACCAAAGCCAGTGAGCATATTATAAAACACACTTAAAGCGGAATTCCCCATTTGTTTATAGATGTCATTAGACAGAACCCTTGCTTCGCTTCTTGTATCAATAATAGCGGTGAGTGATATATCATTAATTTTTATTACTTTATGGAGTAGATTGACACATGAAAGTTGATTGATGTGACAGCATTCGTTTTTTCAGATGTTGGACTGTTGTTTTTGTCAATTTGCTTCGGAGTTTTCTTAACACAGGTAAAGGATTTATGAACGAAATTTCCACAAGATAAACTTTTGGGTCTGCGATGTTGTCGGGACAAAACTTAGATAAATGGCCAAACACATTACAATTATAACATTTAGATGACTGGTATTACTGGAATTTGCTGAGAAAATTTTTCTGTCATGTAAAGCTAAAAATGTAGATTCACGATATTGAATTCCACATTTTAAAAAGAAAGATCAGAAATTGCTACATCACATTTTGAATATGTGTTTCACTTAAAATCTAAAACAAGATTTTTCTGATAATAAATTTAGAACAATTGAAATCAAAAGTGGACCATAGGATTTTGAATCCTCTTGCAGTGAATTTAAATTTCATATAGGTATACTGAGCTCATCATATAATTTTTTTTAAGCTGGAACATTTGAAGAATTTTTAACACTTTGCAGATTTAAAAGTTTACTCATAAAAGAATCAATGATGTTATCTTTTCGACCAAAACTATCTTTAAGTAACTTTACACAGCTGTCATAATTTGTATCAGTTAATTGAAAACTAGATACTACACTTAAAGCTCCTCCAGTCAAGTATGTTTTTAAATAGGCAAACTTTTCAATTTTCAAAAGTGAATCATTTCGATCGATAGTGGTTTCGAACGAATTCCAGAATTCATTCCACAATTTCGGATCTCCTGAATACTGTTTGATTGTTAACTTAGGAAGTGTAACTAAAGAGGGTAGATTAAAGCTATCATTTGGCATAAACAGTTTTTCAAATGTCAACGAGTTAGTAAAACTCTCTTTCTGTTTCAATAAACGTTTAGGTTTATTAGTGTACCTAAGACATTTTTCTTCGTAATCAGTACTAGTGTTTACTTCTTCCTTGATTAAGTTTACATCAATGAAATGTTCAATTGGGAAAATGTTCAATGAAATGTTGAATCAAAAGGACTTAAGCATATTCATTTTCTCTATTAAAACTTCTAGATGCTCGTCTAAGATATCACATGTAACATTTTCATCTGCTAAAGCAACATCAATTCTTGAAATTAGTTTAGTAGCACTGCTTCTTTCAATACTATGCTTTCATTTTAGCTTTTCAAAGTTTTCTTCTGAAGACATGTTTATTACTTGAAACAATTATACAGTCAAAATGAAATTGTTAATGTTAATTACTCACCTGTAATCTTTTTGTAAAGAGGTAAACTTTACTAATCCAAATGGCACAATCCAACTATGGGCACAGAATCAAAACATCTGACACCAAAGTATGGGTAAGGATTGATGCTAAGCATAACTACAACTTATGAAGTTAAACTAGAATATATTTATTTACATTAGAATGAAAAAAAAAAGTAGAAAGAATAATCGTCAAAACATTTTGGACACATCTGTCCTCACCATCGTTCACGTCTCATCTGGTCTGACCACACCCTAATCTAGATGATGCTCTTACATAATCCTTAGTTAGTTCCCACAATAGGTTGTGCAAAAAGGCAATAAAAATTTAATTATTTTTTTTTAACTTATTATGTGCTCTGCCCTCAGGCACTTCACGGAAAGGGAGGGATGCCCCGTGGAGGTCTTTTTAAGGGAAACTGGCTCGTATCCACGTTACATATGGGGAAAACCACAAAAACACCTATGTCGGGCTCGAGCTAATAGCCTTCACCGGGACTCGAACTAATAGCTTTATTTGAAATGTCTTTAAAGTTATTTTCTTGGTTTATACAAAAGTTAACAAGTGTATTATTTTTGAAATCTTCAGTTTCGAGTTTGATCACGGGAAATTTCTATAAATTTTTCTTTTTCTTCACGAGATTTTTGAATTTAATAGTTAAAAATACTTTTCTTTGCATACCACTTATTTTTCTCTTGCATACTACCGGTTGAGAACCCCTGATCTAAACCAATTTTTTTAAAGTCTTGAATAAGAATGTTGTTAGTCCTTCACTTGCCTTATCTGTTGCAAGGCAAAATACTAAAAACATTTCTCAATAATCGTGTCTGTGTTTTCTAAATTAAGATACCTCATAGAAACTGATAGTTGCTCTTGGTGGCTGGCATCAAAGGTACAATGAAATAAAATGGGAAAATAGTTTGCCTGTTTGATCTTATTTAAAATGATTTGTTTTATGTTATTCCATAATATGCTATTCGTTTCACTTTGAATTTTATTTCTAAGGCTTTTTTTTTTTTTTTTTTTTTTAGTTTCAATAATATTAGGATCTACAGACATGATAGGGACAAATTTTGCGATCATTTCTATACACTTTAAAAAGTTATTATTTCTTTCGAATTATTTGTTACTGAAACCACGAATGGCTAAGTTTTGTTTGGCTAAAAACTGAATGGCTTAGATAATTCTTTCAATAACATCGTGTCAATGCTTAGTTTCTTTTTTAATAAATTTTGAAATTTTGAATAACCAACTTTTTCTTTCGTAATCATTCTAAGAAATCGGACTAAAAATATAGATTCCTAAAAGGCATTTTACTGTTTTCATGATGTTGTAAGTGCTCACTTAAGTGGTTCCAGTCACTAAATCCAGAACTACTCAATTTTATTTTACTGAAAAAAATGCAAATTTTGCAACAAAAGCAATACACAGAATTTTTTTTCCGCAGAATTTAGCAACCAATCCCTTTTAATGTTTTCATTGTTTGGCAAGATTCGACAAAAAGTACATCTTAAAAAATGTACGTCCAAATGCATATCTACTGCAGAAATTGTATATTTCACTATCATTTCTTTTGTTATTTCGATCGGCTGCATTGAAGTTAAAGGTAATTCTTCGCTGAAAACAATTTCTAACTCTTTCTGATTATTAGGGTTTTTCTTCTTTTCTTTTTTTTTTTTTTTTTTTTTTTTTTTGTAATTTCAATGGTAGCTGAGACGTTGATGGACAACTAGTGCTGGTAGCGTCAACTTAAGTATTCTCTGGGTTTTGAAAAAACTTACATAAAAATTAAAATTCTGATTTATTAAGTCTTCCTCTTGATTTCTTTTCTTCAGTAAATTCTGATACCCAGACTTTTTTTTTTTTTTTTTTTCTTCCCTGTCTGGGGAAAAAGGAAAACAGAAACAGTGGAAGTAAAAATAAAAGTAAAAAATAACTATTATAAGAACCACTGCAAGAAACACTTCTTGTTAAAAACACTCGGGAAGTCACTGTTTGAAATAGTTTACCTTCCTTCTGAAAAACCGAGTATATCTTAAAACACTGCTGACCAAAAATATGAACTATTAGACCAATACCAAATAATTCAAGAAGGCAATGGTACTCTTTTGTTTATTAAAATAAATTAATCAAATTTAAAGTATGCATTAAGACATAATAAAATAACAAAGAAGTTTTCTTCAGTTTTTCGTACAACTAAAAATGAGAAAATGGCCAATTTGTAATTTCAGAGCACCTCGTATATGTTTACTTCACTTAAAATCCCAAATAGGTATATCATAAATTCAGTGTTATTCCATAATATGTCAATCTTTTTTCTCGAAAAATAATAATTTTTAATTTAATAAACAAATGGTTCATGTAAAACATTTTTTGAGTAATTCTGCTCAAATCGTCGCTCTTTTGAACTAAAATCTTACCAAAGTTTAACATAATAAGTAACTACACTTAAAGTTTTTTATTTATAATAATAATAAGCAATCACTAAAACGATAATTGTTACATAAATTAATATGATTACAACAATAGACACAAAATAAGGATTACAGAATTCGTTGAACGTGTCTACCCTTACATACTCATCGACATCATGTTTTTCATCTATACATGGTATAACAGCTCAATTTAGGTCAAAAACTGCAAAAAGCATTAACTAATAAAATAAAAGCGATATAAATAGCATAGATCTTGTGAATGAACTGCAGTTTTTGCAAACTTTTGGAAAATATGTAGCATCGCTGGTTGAAACTCTATATTGTTGTCAACAACATAGAGGTGGGCAGAAAAGAATTTTGGACATCAACCTAGAGAATTTTTTGCGCCGTGTTGTAACAGCAGTTTGAGCCTTGTCGTAAACGATGCTGCAAACAACAATTTATTCGGTGCAAACTTATTAAATATGTAAATCAATTTGTTTTTAATTTTAAGAAAATAAATAGTGTTAAGTAGTGTATTTGTTATGCAGTGCATTTAGTATATCATTTCACTTCACTTGCAATGTTATTTTTTTATAATGTTTAGTTCTTCAATAAATATGTTTGCACATTTCAAAAAATTAAAAGAGAATTTTTTTTTATATTAATAATACTTCAATTTAGGTGTTAACCATAAGCAGTTTCTTTTTAATATTGTCCCTGCATAAAGACGCTCGCTAGACATTTGCACAATGGTACTAATTAGGCTTGGTGCAGGCCTGTATGAAATGTTACAGTTTCATTCATTAAACATAAATTAGTATACTACAACAGACTTTCGCCTTGTTGGGACTGAAATACCCAGAATGTACAGAATTTAAGAGGAGAGATCCCACAACTTATAGGAGATTTTAATAGTACTTAGAATTATTTGAAAAATAGCTTAGGCTGAAATTCATACTTTTAGTGCCTTTGCTACGTGAACTTACTAGTCATACATAATATTTATCTGGTGTGGAGAATTGTAGTACCATCTCTTTGTAGCTGATCAGTTTCACTGAAGAAATAGCTATCATTTGGAGTTGCAGTAATGATCAAACTCCTTTGATAAATCCACATTACACTGGAACCTTGAGATACAAGTTTAATTCGTTCCAGCATCGAGCTCATATAGAGAATTTCTTGTATCTAGAAACAAACTTCCCCATTGAAAATAATGGAAATCCAATTAATCTGTTTCCCACTCCCAAAAATATCAACATAAAAATAAATTTTTCTAATAAATAACACTGATCAATAGTAGTTACAGTAACACTGATAAATAGTGATAAAAGAATAGCGTCTCCCTTCTGCGCAGCTTATGCTTAACGCATGCACAGGGATATACTTCGCTAGCTGGCATCTGCTATACACTACTGGTGATGTATCATAAGATTGGCGATTAAAGACATGTTGTTCCACTAAATATTGTCACACTATGAAGTTAACCCTGACTTACCAGTTTACTTGTGTCTTATTACTTGTGTGTGTGTGTGATTATTACAGAAGAAATTTTTTTATGTTTGGAATGTTCGAAGTCCTATTCATTCCAACGAAATCTTATTTATTAAGTGCAATCCGCATATTATTAAGTGCAATCCTTCGAAATTAGAGGAATTAGCTCCTACATTTAGAACTGCTAGAAATTTACATGTGATGATTGTGAGGAAGTTTTTTTAAAACAAAACCTGCTTCGTGCATATGAACGCACAGAACATGGTAAAAATGACGAACCTGAAAAAATAAGCTTTGTATTTGAAAATAATGGAACTATTAATATCAATATAACCCTAGAAGAATTTACAACCTTTTTGGTTGATGTCTATCTTATACTGAGCTATGGGAAAACAGTTTTGGTGAGATGAAATCTTTTATTTGAATAGACAACAGTAAATTAAAATGGTGTGAAATTGAAGACTCAAATGAAAAAACTAATTAAACTGTCACAAATCATACAATAAATATGGATCAAGTTTTTGATGAATTAATGATTTCAAAAGGTTTGATAAGCTAATTATGAAATTTAGAAAGGGAAAAATTGTGAAAAACAATGGATAAAAAATTTCAGTCATTTCAAAGAAAAACATATTTCATTGCACAGTGCCATTTAAATGACAGAATACATTTTTAAGCATGCAAGACAGACTGGCAGCAATCAAAGGAATATTGTCAATTATATTGTCATAAAAAGTGGTTTGAAGAAAGAGACATACTGGCTGAATCGACAATACAAGCTTACCAAGCTGCAAAATTAATAGTCAACTAAACTTCACTGAATTTTTCAATACTGTTAAAAATAACAAAGAATTTTTGAACAAAGTTCACACTATTGATAAAAACACTAGTGTGAAAACTAGACACTAATGATAATTACTAATGAATAATGTATTGAGTTACTAAAAATTTATTTTAACTCATTCTTGTTTTTTGTTAATAACTTCTTTATTTAGCCTTTTCAGTGATAAAAACACTAGACACTAGTAATAAATACTAATGAATAATATATTGAGTTACTAAAAATTTATTTTAACTCATTGTTTTTCGCCAATAACTTCTTTATTTAGCATTTTCAAACCTTCTTTATTTTCCTTTTTTCTTAGTAGTTGCTTTTTCAGTTTTTATTTTCTGTGTGTGTATTTTCTCAGAATTCTTCCGGTTTGAGCAAAAAAAGTATGGTAAGCCTAGTCATTAGAGGATTGATTACGAATAATGTGTATGTCTTTTGGATTACTAATAAGTAAGACAATGCAATCAACAACAAGAAAATATAGACATATAATATAGAAAGATGTACATAGTATAATAGTATATATATAAGATATAGATATATAACCTATAAGAAAATATAGATAAATATAAATAGATAAAAAACTGCATTTGAAAAAAATTGTAAAATGAGTTTAAATTAATTGATTATGGCAAAGCATTCAAGAGTTATTTGGATGAGAGATGCCTTTGTGGAAAATAGGAATTCAAATAAATTTAAAAAGAAATTTTATAACAGCAAATAAAGGATGTAATATCAAACAAAAAATACATTAGGAAATAAATATGAAATAAGGTTAAGTAAATTGATTATTAAGTGTTACAGTAATCTACAGTATTAACATCATCACAGTAGCTAAAGTATTAACATCAACGAAGAACAACGTCTATTTTGAAGAAAGAACGTCTGTTTCCGAATAAGCTTTAAAGTCGCAAGTAAATAAATTCCGCATTTCTGGGTTTATCTGAATAACAAAGTAATAATTCTTAATGCAAACAGCACAGAAATTTATCCTTTGGATTATGAATACTTCTAAATATTTATTTTTTGTACTATATAGAAAAAAGAACATACACACAATTCGCAGCAATTGATAATGCATGCCTGAAGTATATATTCGTCGCCAATAAACAAAGGTTACTGTGCTGAAAAAGCATGTATTGCACATGCGTGAAGCGTAAGCCCCACAAAACGGAGACGCTACTGTGATAACAGTAGTTTACCATTATGATAGCTTCCGACACCGACCTTATAACTGCTTCTCGTTAATCCACACAAACAACAGCTTCTCAACATCTTCTAGAGTTTTGGATGGTGCTTGGAAGTAACGTTAACTCCTTTGGCTATATCAAGTTTAATGTCTCTTCATGCTTCTTCAGAATAGTGCAGATCGCCGATGTCGAAAGGCTGTAAGTTTTCACCAATTCCGTCACTCTTACACCATGCTTATGTTTATCTGCGATTTCTTTCTTAATTTCAAATGCCATGGCTTCCTTTTTTTTTTTTTTTTTTTTTTTTGCAGCACTATCTGAGGCAACAATCTTCTTGATAGGCAATGTGAAATAATTATGTTCATGTAAAATGTAATAAATAATTGACTTGCAAGCGCACAAACAAGTAGATCAAGGAACACTGAGTGATTTGATGAGGAGATTCCTCAAATCGAGCCGGATCGAGAAACGCGCCCATGCATACCAACAGCCTGGCTCAATGCTCATTACTCGAGTCAATGCTCGTATTTAGAGACGAATTTTTTGCTCATACTTTCCTCGCATCTCGAGATTCCACTGTACATAATAATACAATATTTTCTTTTATATATTAACACATTGAGCGCGGCATCAAACCCTGGGGACCGGCAGTGAACTTTCCATGTGGCCGGCGCCGGCCCCTCGGGACCAGCAGTGAACTTTCCATGTGGCTGGCGTCGGTCTGCAGGACCGACAGTATTAAAGTTAAAAAATAAATATAGTCTCAATAAAATGTGATCAAATTTAGTTTTAATGAAATGTATTGCAACATTCTAAACAAAAATACGGCTTAGCTTGCTGCCGGAATGGAAAGGACAGCAAATTCGCCGCCGCACTCAACGTGTTAAAAAGAAATTTCTCTACATGTTTATGAAGTGTGCAAAAAAGTTTTGGTACAAATCTGAAAATCTTAACATACTTTTATTTGAATGGTTTGAATAATAAAGAATGAAAAGAAATCTCTGAATTCGTTTTATGAAATATTACTGCAACTTTTTTTTTTTTTTTTTTCCCCAAACAACTATTTAATTTTGTCTTGCACAGTATGTTTTAAACCTAAGAAAGCTTGATTTATAAAAGCATGTAATACTTAAATTGTATGGCAATGTTCTATTAAATAAATGTTACAAATTTTAGACTGTTCAAACATTTCTCTTATAATTACCTAATCTTAATAAAAAAATCCATAAAAACAGATAAAACAAACAGGGATTAGCTGTATCAGTGCTTTGTGAATAGGTAAAAAACATTTGCTTGACTATTTTTATAACTTATGGATACTACTGTGCTCGCAAAGAATAAAAAAAAGCAGCAATTTTTTAAGAAATAAAAAATTTAACGTGAAAAATAAAAAAACTACATGGTTCAATATTCACATTTTTACAGACAGTGATTGCTGTTCAACAGAACATTTAAATACACAGCTTATGAATCCATGTGAACGCAAATGCATGTATGCTATATACACCTGAGTTGGCTATTGCCATATGTATACTGAAAAATATGCCCCAAACAGGGCATTTTACCAGTACAACTATAAAAAAATTTTAGTTTACAATATATAATAATATTGAACAATCTTATTCTTTTGACACAGTGTCATATATTAATATTTAACATGCCTTTATAATAAGGTAATAGCTCACCTAGATCTACAATGGCTGTTCTGTCAACTCTCAGTTTACGTTCTATTGCCATTTTCAAAGAGTTTAGCCAAGAATAGAGCTTTTCCTAAGAGATTAATTTTAAACTTAATACTGCATACCTTTTCACATAAATAATGAAAATCAACTATTATACACAAAAGAGAAACTTGAGGCATTTTTAATAAGAACATAAAATTAAAATATAATAAAAGTAGCTTTACATATTTTGAAAAAAGAGTAACTTGGCTTTATGCAGAATAATTACTTACACACGTATAATACTCAAATGCTATGAGGTCTGTAAAAACACTAAGCTACTGAAACTACTTTCATGATTTAACAAGCAATATATATTTTTTTAAATACTAGAATGCAGCTTAATACTTCAAATATAGTTTAACATAAAAAATTTCTTAAAATTAGTACATATTAAACAAATTTAATATAAAGCATCATAAAATTTTTATAAATATTTTGAACTACTATTTGGTATAGACATATCTTTTATTAATACAAAACTGTAAGTATTGAAAAAAAGTTAGCAGCTTGATATATTAAAAATCAAATACATTTTAATATATGCAAATTATATATAATATTTTAAAAAGCATTTAAATTATTAAGAAATATGCTTATTAATTTTAAATGGCTCAATCTGTCAATTAGTAACAGGTTGATTAAATTTGAAAATTAAGATAATTATTTATGCTTTGCCAAATTGGCAAGGATGAAAAATTGATGGTCCAATTTTTTTCTTCTCCCCCCAATACTTACCAACAACTGCTTCTTTAAACTTTCCATTTTTCCAATTTCTAGATTTCTGAAGCATGATTGTATCAATACATTTTATTTTTAAAGGACATAATTTTGTATGTTAAGTAATAACAATTAACTACTTTCATGGTGGGAAGCAGAAAACCAGCTGTGGTATTTCTAAAACACCATATGAAATAGAAAAATAAAACAAAAAATATTTAACACATAGCTTACATTGATTTCACAGGAATTACCTGTTTACAGAACAAAAAGTATTTTGTACGAATGGAGCGATAATAATACCTATTTTATCAGCACATGAAATCTACATCATGAAAAGATACTTACGTATTCAAGCAACCACTTTAGTAAAAGTTACCAAATTTTCAGAATGTACCAAAATCTCGCAACTATGCATATAGCAATTCTTTAGGCCTAACAAGCAACACTGCCACTTTCATAAGCACTCATTTTGTTATAGCTTAAGTTCCAACAATTTTTCATAGATAAACTGTGATTTTTTTATCATATACACAATTTTAAAATATGCAGATGTGAGATTTGCTAGTAATGGAAGAAAATGCTGTCAAACTTCTGAAGTAGTACAGTATTTTGTTGCAAAATCGCTACAGAACAGCTGCTCTGAATTTGTTTTTAAAGCAATTATCTGCTAAAGATAAAAATTTTCAGAAGAGCAAAAGAAAAAAAAAATCGACTTGCCAGTCAAGTTATGGACTGATTTCGGGAATAAATACCTAATTAAAACATAAAATGTGCATCTAATAATATGTATACGAGTAAAAACATTTTTTTTGAAATTATAAGTCAATGTTCTTTTACTAGTAAAAATCACCAAAATGTGCCAAGATAGTTGCACATACATAAATACCCATGGATACAATAACACCTGAATTCAGGTGTTTAAAAAAGTTACTTAAACACATTTTCAGTTTTCTGTTAGTCAGAACCCTCTTTGAATTTCTTTCGGGAATTGAAAAAGATATTAATAAAGGTCTTTCATAGGTAAACATCCATACAGCAGGCACTTTTACATCCGTTCTATTAAAAAAATACTTTTCCGTGTGATAAGACTAAGATGTCTTTACCACTTATAAAATTAAAAAAATTCCAGATTAAATAAGTTGCTTTCTGATTACCATTAGCTTTGCTTTAGATGCAGGTAACACAGAAAATTAGAAAAACTATTTTGCAATGGAGATAACAAAATATAACTAACTATAAGAATGACACTTATAAATTTATACTAATAGTAAAAATTCTACTAGATTTTCTAGTTACTGAAAAGTATCAGAGTATTATATAGGCTGGGCTGGATTATCTGATCAATGAAAGAACCCTTGGAATATCTGCCTAAACCTCATCCAAATTTTGGGCAAAAGTACACAGTAGGAGATAGGAATTCTGTCAAATAAATTCTGAATTTATAGTTTTTCACACTTTATTTATACAGACTTTCTCATTATTTAACTTCATCACTTTCAAGTGCTATCTTTACTGACTAATGTACTGCTCACAATGTCTCTTTCAATTTCACTCTCATTGCAGCACTCTTATCGAATATATTACCCATAATTTCCCTTTTAGAAGGAAGAAAAATATAGGGTGAGATCAAGAGCATGTGAACAAGAGAACAAGAAGCTGTGGAAATACTGTTTACTGTTATCTCTGTTTTGGCATAAAAATTGCAGATTAAAATAATGTGTGTACAAGTACCATATTTTGGTGAAGGAATCAGGATTTGCTTACACACAATTCTGGTCTTTTGCACTAATGTTTTCTTTTAGTCACCTCTGTGTTCCAGATAATACCAATGATTTACTTTTGGCCCTTCTAGCAAAAATTCATGGTGGATAACACCCTCAATATCAAAAAAGGCACTCAACACCACCGTGAATTTTAATCTAACCTACTGCACTCTTTCTGGCTTTGGGGAAATTTTCCATTCCAGATTATGAACAGCAGGTTTTATTTTAATGTCACTTATCACCAGCAATTATTGATTTTCTCAAATTTTCACCTGCAATCACAATGCCATTGTTTTTATATCACTATGCAATATCACCAGCAAATGTGGAATGAACTTTGCAGCAATTTCATACATTTCCAGTTTCTCAGTCAAAATGTGATGACACAAATCAATCAAAATTATGCAGTCCTCACTTATTTCCCAAATAGTCAATTACTGCTGACTTGAACCCATGATTTTCAGAGTTTTGTCACTTGATAAGTATCGTGAATAGAAATCATCACTGGCTGATTATTCATCATCTCTGAATCATTTAAATGATTCATAACACAGTATGACCTAACTAATGATCACCTTAAATATGTTTCAATATTTGATTGGACTATACAAGTTTAATACAAAATTTTACTTAAATGAAACTGATCCACTTTGAAAATCGGGGAACACACTCAACACACACTTACGCAAAGTGGTCTGTCTAATACAGCAATCAGTTACAATTTAAATACACATATAAGAATAATCTAGATAAGAGTGCTTCCTAATATACACTGCCACCTTTCAGAGATTCCTACTACATAGCGCTGGCTAGCTTTAAAGGAATTTTGGAACTTTTTTAAATCAGACTTTGTATTATAAAAGAATTGCAAATTTCTTAAAATAATTTCCTTTATTAAAGTAATATACTACTGCAATTTCGATGATAAATAAAAAAAACTTGATAAAGTTTTAATGTTTTACCAAATGGCAACATTCTGAGAATCAGCTATGTGTGAGGGTACATGAAAGATAAAGGTCTTGGGTTTCAAACAATGAACAATACTTGGCCAAAGCTGTTAGCTGCATTTCATTCTTCTCATCTGCCAGTTTCAAAGGCACGATCATGGCTATAGATTTTATTTAGCCAAGATAGGAGTTTACATGTTAAATGAAATGAACATGATTTCTTTGAGGTGTAATTAATACTTAAAAGTAGCAATTTTATTTTTAAATAATCTTTCAGATCAGGTTTGCCCCACCTAAACTTCAGTTTTGATTCTAGCTAGTTATCATATTCTCTACTGATTAATAATTCACTCATTTGAGAAAAAGCTACAGATGAGATGCAGCAACATCTTATTTAGTAACAATCATATTTAGTGAGTAGTGACAGTAAAGTTTAGCAGATTTATAATCTGAATAAAAAATATATAAAAATTTTCATTCACTTCTAAAATTTCCCATTTAGCTAAATAGTCAAAGCTTTCCTTTTAATGCTTTTTTGTTGGATTATTTATTTATTTATTTATATTTTTTTAAAATTTGGAACATTTATCATTAACCAGACATTGTTGAAAGTTTGCTAAATTTTGGAGCAAAAGGAGAAAAACCTAACATTGATGCAATAAAAAAATTAATGCAGTTACAAAGCAATAAAATGAATAAAAATATTAAGGGGAAAACTATAGCATTGTTTTAACAGTTTTTATAAATTAAAATGCTTTAGCAAGTTAAAAGAATGATAAAATATGCTAAAAACATATCCAAAAGTCTTCACTGGGTTTTAACCCTCTGAGCGGCACGGGTTTTTGGATTTGTCATGAAGACCTGTATTTATGCAGCATTTGTTAGCTAAATTTACATAATTACTTATTTTAGCCTCTATTTTCATAAACTTACATTCATTACAGATTACATTTACATTATTAAAGAAAATGAGAAAGCAAAATATCTTAAGTATCTAATATGTATCATGTGACAAAAAATCTCATGACCGGATGAAGATAGTCGCTCAGAGGTTTAATTTATTTGGACTAGAAAACATGCAGATCCTTAATGGCAAGCAACTTGCAACAACATGTAATTTGGAATACAGAAAATGCACATAGAAGTTTATTAATTAAAAAATAAGAATCATTTAACTCACTTTCAGAACTATCAGATACAAATGGCCTGGCAAAAGTAATTCTTGATTCATGGGATTGTCTGGAGATTCCAATGCACATTCTTTTTTTACAACAGAGAACAGCTTTTGAAGCATGAATCTAGGACATTTTTAAACACTATAAATAATTTATGCAACTGTTATTAGAAAATTTTACATCTTGCATGCAAGCATTTTTTGCTAGATCTAAATCAAAAAAGAAAATTCTTTAGAAAATTCTCAGAATAATGCAGTTTTATCAAATTGCAATTTACACTCAACCTTCCATATGCTGTTTATTTATTCCTTTGATAATAAAATCAATGCAAAATTAAATTACATGATAAAACTTTCAATAGTGAAAAACCATCACAGACAAAATATTTATTTTGAAAATTGCAGGCTATTGTAATGAAGTTATTAAAGAAGTATACCATTTTTATGAACAATTTTCATTTTATTTAATAAATTAGAGATAACTAACTCAGTTTAGCTTGCACATCTTTTTTACATCTTAAAGCGAGGATGTTTCAATCATGAGGTCTTTTATGACTATCGGTTATTATTTCGTAGAGCAGCAAGTTATCTAATAAACATAATATATATGTGAAGTTATCTAATATACATAATATATATCTAATACACAAATTCTTTCTTCCTCTCATAAAATACATTCAGAAAAACAGGTTCATCTTTTCCTGAATCAATATCACAACCAAAACTTTAAATTAATGAATATTATAAATTAATTTAATAAATCTCAAACATCAGTTTATCAGATGAAAGCATACCAGTAACATAGAAAGTAAACTAATGCTATATACAATTTATTAATTTATCCATTTTACAGCATGCACAATAACCATTATACAGCAATAATGGTGAATAAAAACTAAATTTGTCATTAATAAATATACAAAATAAAATTACTGAAACGAAAACAACTTACGCGAGCAACACAAGCTTTTCTCTTTCAGTTTTCAGATGAACACAAATACATTGGCTGGAAGACAGTAACAGTTTCAAAAGAGTGTTTTAAATTTTTTTAACATTTATAAAATCATTGTTTCAAATGATAAAAAGGACCAACAATTTAAATTTGTACAAAGTTTAATAACATATTAACTCTTTGCATTCAAAGCCATTTTTGCTTGCATGAACCAACAATTTGAAATAATTTTCCCCATATTTGGTGAATTTCTTACAGCTAACTTAAAATGATTTCAGAGAAATCTGTTCTTTTATGTCTGAAGATACTTGCAGTTGCTCTTTTGACATATACAAACAGTATTTTTTGCAGTTTTGTTCATGTTAAAACAGTATTCTCAGGCTTCTGTGCACGTTATCCATTCTGAATTTCTGTCTTTTCTGTGAAATCACTGACATTTTTACATTCACTACTTATTACCCTGATTTTTTGCCTTCTTACACCTCTTACTTCATCACAGCTTTTCTCCTTTTCTGTTGTCAAATAGTCTGTTCAATGATGTAATTTTTCATCAATACATACTGAACCCATTTTAACTTAAACTGGTTCTTTCATCATATGCTATGCTTACTGATCATTGTAACTTTAAAAATAAATTCCTTTCGCTATGATGAAGTTGAACTAATACCAAAGACACATATATAGCAATAAATCTAAAAAATGTATTTCAGATTAAAGACTAACCTTTGCCTTAAATGCACATATTATTGAACACACTCATGAAGTGATTTTGCCAAACTAAACCTAAATAGACATTGTTACTATTCAAATTATCATGTCAAACCGAGTGGTGATCGAGAATGCCTTTCGAGTTACCACATCACTACCTTTTGAGTGCAAAGGGTTAATACACTATTTTACAGACATAAACTATTTAAACAATAATCTTTCAGCTTCATATTTATTTTTCAGTTTCTGTCATAAGAATAGAATACTTTCTTTGTTGCTATAATGCACTCATTCCTATCTGACATATTTATATAAAATGAGACAATACAAAACTGTTTTATAATTAGCTTACAAACTAATATAACTTCTCAAACTCAATTGACAAGGAGAGAAATCAAGATTTCAGTTAAAGGAATCAAACCTATGTACTACTTCTAGTTCTTGCCAAGGGCAATTAATTTAAATACATAAGTAACTTCTTTGAATGGGCTTTATTAAAAGAGCTAGGACTCCTTAAAATTTCAACATATCATTACACAATGAATTTCAAAGCAGTTTTAATCAACAGTGCTTGATGGAATTGGTAGCATTGCATTTCTTTTGCTTTTTTGCAAATCCCAGTATTGATTAACCACTTTCACAAAGATGTCTGTACAAAGATTTCTGTATACATATATGTTTACGCAAAAAATATGTTAGGCTATACTTAATAACAACCTAATGGAATTCATAATAAAAGCAACCAATTTTAAATATGAATTTGATATTACACAAAGCAACAACCTTGTGTTTTGTGTAGAATTTAACCAAGACTCTATTGATTTTGAGGGCAACAGGTCTCTTTTCATCAGCTACTCTGCTATGAAAGAATGAAAGAAACTATGAAACTCTGCTATGAAGAGAGAAGACACAGCCATACTTATACCAAAAGCAAAGTAAAGCAAACAGGAAGCACCATCTGTCCACAGAAATACTAGTAACATGAAAAATTCATTTAATAGATATTTTAAAGCATTAGAAAAGGACTGGATTGGAGTTAAAGTCATTAACAAGATAAATTTTTCCGAATTTATTATGAACTAATTTGCGAATTCAATATTTTATCTTTGACAATTCAAATTTTTTTATTATTCCAAATTTAGACTAATACAAATACATCATGCTTTAACTCTGTGTGCATTAGAATGATGCAGTGGTAATGAAACGCAAAGAAAATGGTTTGCCTTTTTCAACAAACTAATAACAGATATAAAAATGTATATTATTACAAAGTGCCCTATATTTGAATTATTTAATCTTTTACCTGTAGTTTTCATTAATCAGGCATGAAAGTGCAAGTTGGCAAAAAAAGCTGAACAACGCGCGGACGCAAAATTACACAAAAACTAAATGTGCATGCGCGACCTCAAAAAAAAAAAAACACATTTTAATAAAATATCAACCTTTTAATATAAAAAGTATTAAACATATACATATAAGTAAACTAAAATAATACTTGCACTTACTATTTTGCTGTAATTTTACCTTCCACTTATTAAAAAAAAATCAGTAAATCATCAAGAGATTGTAAGGAATTAACCTTCTTTAAGATGCTCTTTATGTAACTTAATTTAACAGTTGATACATGAATACTGTACACAACATTACAACACACTAACATACATATTTATGTTATATATTACTGCCCATTTCCACTGTTACTATAGCTTTCAATTATCTTCACTTTTAATTCAATAACCAGCACTTTATATAACACCAGAAAAAGTAGTCCTGTGAGATAATGTAGTTACAAAATAACATATAGTTAAAGGAGGAATTTAAAAAATAACTATTTTATCTGTCTCACTCGATCCTGATTAAAAATTTTTAGATAAAAAGCTTTTTCTCTTTTGCTACTTTTGCAGCTAACTTTTCTAATTTCCGTTTGCGAGCTAGTCTCAATTTCTTTTCAGCAGCTTTTATACAATCCATTGATACTTTTTTATTTTCTTCCTTATTTTCTGTAATGTTTAATTGCTTTTTATTTTTTTTAGATTCTCGCTCCTCCTTTTTTATCTCTAGCTTATTTTGTACAGTTTATGAGCATTCCTTAAATTTTTACATAGAGTTTTGTGTACTGGAGAATGAAAGTGGTTATCCGTATGTCTGACAGATGGCGCCAGCACCGATCACAGAAATTATTGAAGATAACTCTCATTTGACGGTTGTTTGCTCTTCTTTGATTCGATATTCGTACGCATCTAGTTCCGCCTTTCCACATTAGCCCCACCTACTTCGCCTTGATGTAAAACAATGTATTTCATGATCTCTGGCATGATGTAAAGTTTTTTTACAAAGAAAAGAGGGAGAGAGCGTGTCCTCCGTTTACCCCCCCCACACACACACACACATTTGCCGGTCGCGATTTCTCAACGGTTCTACATTGATCTCAGAAATAGCCTGGGTGACATTCAAAAAAGCTGAATTCTGGGAAATCGCGGAAAACTTTCATGCCTGATTGATTTAATTTTTAAAATTTTTTTTGAGCTTTTTTAATCATACAAACAAGCACTAACATTATATTTATAAATACATTAAACAATTATTACAAAACACTAAATAAACGTAGTTACTGTGCATATAAATTGAGCAGTGCAATTTAGCCTCAGTTATGGATAAGCATGACATCACAAGACATAACATTTGCACTTTTGTTTGATGTAACTCTTAGTGATTCTCAATAAGCTGCCTTTTGTTTTCATGAACAAGGTTATAAATTGTTATTGCTGCATTTGTTTCTTGCACCTCGAGAGAAGGAAAAGAGTTTGAGAGCTGTAGAATCACATTTGCGATGCATTTACATTCATTTACAGCTCAAGAGAATTAAGATCTGTGAATGATGAATAACAGCTGGATATGACCAACAAAACAGTAATAGGCTGGAACAATCACTTGTGGGAAGTTTGTACTCATAGCATTCTAAACAGAGCTTCTGGTAAAATCATAGGGGCTAGTAAAATAGTAGAAATTAAACAAGAGACTTTTTATGAAGCTAAAAAACAAAGCAGGTCAAATGTTTCCCCAGCAGTGGTTATTTAGTGGAGTGTGCAAAGACACTGATGAATGACAATCATATAGTAAAAGAAAAAGTTGTTCAATAAATTATAAATCTGACATTTACACTACTGTGGATGAAAAAGTAATCCAATATAAGTTTTAAAGTTAAAATTTAAAAAAATACACTCAAACTCAATATGTATTATATCAAAATTATACATTTTTACACAGGTGAGCAAGTTATCCAAGGAATCGGTCATTACATGACAACAGTACTGTTCAATTTAATGCAATATCTTATCTGACCTTCATAGATTAAGATAATAAAAAATTCATGTTCAGCACCAATAAAATTAATAAAATATGCTGTTTTTATTTTAAATAGTATTTAGTCATTATTCAAAGTAATCAGATACTGTAATATGTATATATATATATATATATATATATATATATATATATATACTTAAATCCATTTAGTGCGAATACAAGTAGAATTATTTTAAAAGTGTGCATCCATGCTGGTAAGCTATATTTTGAAAGATGTTTTGAAGTAATTTGAAAGCAAAATGTTAATAATGTTTTAACGGGGACTGGAGTTAAATCATCACGAAGAATAATATATCAAATGTAAAAGGAAAAATTAAAACATGTAATTATTGTCATTGATCGGAAATTAGTTGACTTTTCAAGGGGAACAAACCAACCCCCGTTCAATGAACAATAATTGATAAAAATACGTAAATATGAAAGTGTTTCGTCTTTACTCGAGTTATAAGTTAAAGCCAAACCGGCAATTCTAGTCAGGCCAAAAATTTCCACGAATAGTTGCTACTCAAAGAACTTATTCTCATGAAGCATTTTAGTCAATTCAATTTGGAGTAAAAATCAATTACTGTAGAGAAATCCTGTAAAACTTGAGTAACCATCCCCGACACTATCATCTTTATGTATTTGAGTACTATATTATTTGTAGAAATTAAACATTGGAAATTGTCATTATGAAATCGAATTCAAAGTAAAGTTGAAATAAACATAGAAGATTATAAAAAAGTTAAATAATGCAAACTTTGTAAAAACAAATCAAGGAAAACATAAAAATAATATAAAAATAATATAGAAAATAATATAAATAAGATCAGTGAATGTACATGAAGATATAAAGGCCAGAAAGGTATTAAGTAACTTACATTCTTTCTAGTGAGGGAGTTGGCAAAGTGTTCTCTTCGTGTCTGACTCAGAAGTGTAGGGTGTCCGAAAATTCTTAGCGGCAGTAGGGGCTTTGAATAATATCAGTTGGTAAGACTTGGGTGAAGTAATTTATGGTAGTGGGTGGGACTTGGAATTCTTGAGAGATGCATTTGTGGAGTGGATTCTTATCTGAGAGAGACCGTCTGTTAAGATTTTTTTTGAAAATACTAGTGAATGGAAATTAATTATTTCTGGCTAATTGTCGTCGTGTCGCAATGATTAAGAATTTAAGAAAGGAAAAAGGCATTTTCGCTGTCCAAGAGCTAATAGACAGTCTAAAGGCAGGAAATAGGCCCATTTTTTTTAGTAACAGTATATGTCTGAAGACAATTAGCTTTTTACAATATATACAATTGAGTAATTACACTATATACAAATCTTTCAACTGACAGTCATCCAACTTATACCACCTTCTCAGGTTTAGGAATAAATTATCATATCCCTATCAGTTAAATGATTTAGAGTGAGTATTTAACGCCTGCTCTTTTAAGGCAATGGTTGATAAATTGAAAGGGAATTAGATTATTTTTGAGAATTTTGATAAAGATCAAAATTTCGCGTTGTTAATCTATTGTATCTGTGCATATAGTTTTAATTCGTTGTATTTGATTAATTATAGTATTGTTAATTACTTTTTATAGTATTGTTAATTACTTTTTTGGATATGTTGGAGTTCCAATTTATTAATTTGTTAGTATTGAAATTGAAGTTTCTTAACGATATACCTCAAGTATTTTTTTAATTAAAAAATGTAATGTAACTAGAAGAAAAACAAAGCTGAAGGAAAATAATTACAAGGCAAGAATTTGAATTCTGAGCTTACAGTCTTTTGAATGAGTAAGAAATATTGCCTACCACAACATGTAGCTAACACTGGAAGTGCTTTAAAATTATTATATTTGATACACTGTCTTGTAACTTTGAGGTCTTTGCTTCTTTAGTGAAGCACATTTGGATAATTTAATTATATGTTAGAAATATCCTCTATAACAACTACAAGTTAGATACATATTTTTGATTCTTAAATCCACAAAAACCTGGAAATGAAAGAGATTACTGCCATTGAGCATAACACTATTACTTACTGAATGAGAAACTTGGCAACTTCAGTAGAACTATACCAGGCAGGAAGACCAAGTTTTATGCGGAACATTTCACCCAGATAATTTAATGCTTGCTCTCGAACTAATATTTTTTTGCTATTTAACTGACGCAACATATTAACAATGCACCTGCAAAGACATACGTAGCATAACTGTATAAAAATAATGAAAAGGACAAAAGAAATATTCGTAATACATAATATAAAACTATACGAAAGGAAACGGAAAATTAAATTTGGTTTTGAGATCAAAAATACCTTAATATAAAAAATAAAAAAAAAAAAAACTTTTCAAAATTCCTACCCTCGAAAAAAGGTATCACCTCTTTTTCCTTTTGTTATCATGTTGGTAATGTACAAATCACACTTATCTGTTAAAGCTTTCAGTATTAACATAATAGGGACAAAAAAAAGTTCCTTCTTATAAGTAAACATAAGTTTTACAGTTCCATCTGACAAATAATGTAGCACCATGTTCTGCAAATACCAAAAATAAATATTAAAACATTTGACCAAAAATTTTGAACAAAGAATAACACAGCTGAATACAAATTGTTAAAATAAACATACAGATAATTAAAATTTAAAAATACTGTCTCAAATTTCAAATATTCAAGCTTCCTCCCTTTTCTCAATCATATAATAAGAAGCAAAACACTACTCAAACACACACAATGTTAAAATATACTTTCACTACTTCATACAAAACACTCTATCCATAACAGTCCTCCATTCAAATATAATGCATATGAAGCTTGAAAAAACGTGTAAAATGACATCATCTGGGTTAATTCAAGTTGAAATGCAAACAGAGTTAAAGCACTTTTTGTTCATTTTATGCAGTGTTATACTTGAGTTTCAGAGATCAAAAAAAGATCCTTGTCATGCTACAAGAACCTTATTTGCTAGACTCACTTGCCCTTTGGCCCCCAATGTTATCTTTTATCAAGATGGTTATATGAGGTCATAATTTTAATGACTTACATTATCCAGAATGATAGAATAGCTACTCTATAACAGATATCAAACTAAAAAATCTACCAATTCTTCTAGGAATGTCAGGAATATTGAAGAAGATATGTGAATTTTAATCGATGAAACTCTGATTAAATACTATTTACTAATTATTCTCATTAAAAAAAAAACTCCTTTTAAGCATTTTCCACTAACTTTTTGCAGTAACAGTATACAGTCAAAAGTCGTTAATTCGGACACCCGTAATCCGGAATGATCTATAATCCGGACCTCAAAGCTAAAAACTTTCTGCGCATGCGCCGCGTTGGCACATGCGCACAGGCGTTTTACGCGTGCGCGTAAGACCTTGACTACTGCGCATATGCGTGTGCGCAAGTGCAGAATACGTTTTCGCGTGCGCGTTTAATGTATAACGGACGGTATAAACTAAAATTATCTAATTATCTATTTCAGTTAATGTTGATAATTGCGTTGTTCCTTAATCTTCGAATTGAATCCGGCTTATTATTTTTTGCAGACTGTAAGAGCAATTTTCTAAAAGTAAGCTTGAACTTTCGATTATGTCAAATAGAATTTCCGATGCTGGAGCTCCCAAAGGATCTAGAAAACGAAAGTATGTTTCGATGTCCATCAAACAAAAAACGAATTGCTACAAAAAAATGGATAAAAGCATATCCTTTGTTTATCTAACCGTTCCGAAATCTGTTTATCAATTTCACGCTGCTCTGCGTGGGGGGGGGGGGACGTCGCGGCGCGCAATGAACTGGAAGTTGATCTGTCAACACTATCGTTATCTTCAGGGCAGATGTTTTTATTTTATTGTGCTTATAATTCCTTACTAAATGTAGTATTTAATTTCGATGTACTCCGTCTTTGATATGATTTAAATCAAATTCCTCATCATTATAAATATCACGAATACAAATCAAATAGTTTTCTGGTTGCAATTTTCTAATTTCGGCTATGCGTAAGGTATGCTTTACGCATCCGCGCGTTGAAAGAAATGTTTAATAAGTAAAAACAAATAAATATTAGGCTTCTTTTTTGGTAAATTTTGATACCCTTTAGATCATAATTGTTCATTATTTTATAAATTACGGTTTCATATTTTTAATTTTATAATTTCTGCATGCCATCTTACCAGATTTAAACTGATGATCTATAATCCGGAAAAATCGATAATCCGGAATCGCCGAAGTCCCGACGAGTCCGGATTAAAGACTTTTGACTGTATTACTTTTTAGTTTATACAAATTTCATCAAAAATGTCAAAAATAAAATTAAACTTCATAAAAGCAACATACACTGCCAGACTGATCACTTCTCACACATCTGATTGAAACCCCGAATTCAGTAAACATATCACCTCTCTTCTTCCAGTTAGGCCTTTCCATAGCAATGGGCTAAAAAAAAATTAGGCAAGACAAAAATTTTTACCAATTTCATCCTGTACATTAAATTAGCATTCAAGTCAATTACATTAAAAACAACTGCAGAAGATTTTACTTAAATAAATGAAAATTACTGGCAACATAACTACTGTAAGCTTCAATGTATTTAAATCAATTATTGCTTAAAATATTAAATTTAAAACATGGGAAACCTTCATATACACTTACATAATTTCTTCTTTGAATTATAAGCAATCTCACCACTTTTTCCAAACCATTTATAATGAAATAACCACCAAATTCCTGAATGGAAAAGAAAATAAATTTTAAATTATTAAAAAAAATAATGAAACAAGTTTTAAAAAATTTCATCATTCCATGTGATACTTATAGAAATATATTACTTACATAATATAAACAACCTCATTTTTATAAAATCTACTTAAAAAAATACTGTGGCACAGAAAAAATTACATAAATTATATTCTTTAAGCAGGAAGAAAATCAAAGTATAGCACTTTTATGATTACTAACATGCTTTCAGTTTAGTAGAGGCAAAAAACTGCTTGCAAAATTTTGTTTTTAATATCGTTACGAAATGTACAGCCCCGGTAAGATAGCTTCCATGAAAAGCAGTTTTAGGGTTGCCATAAAATGGCAAGGGAATGCAGGGTTGCCACATTTGGCGAGAAATTGCCAATTTGGCGATATTTGGCGACCCTGTTTGAAGATAATAAAGATGATTTAAATAAAGTTCTTTCAACAATGAATTCTATTGATCCTGTTATTCAGTTTCTTTTTGAACTTGAGACTTTCAATTCTCTTTCGTTTCTAGACATTCTGGTGTAGAGACATTAGGATTTTTTGGAAGCCAGAGATATGAAAAAATAACAACCGCCTTTGCCGGGAATCGAATCACAGACCTCTGCAAAACTGGCCCAGCATGCTACCGTTACACCACGAAGGCATGCTAGGGAAGTGGGAGAAATACCTTATATACTCCCTTTTTTAAAGGGCGACTAGGGTGTTAGGGGACCTAGTCGCCAAATCCTGGGTGCGGAGAATCATCATCCACAACCCTTTTAGTTCAGGCGCCACTTGTAGAGACATTAGGATTTTTTGGAAGCCAGAGAGATAAAAAAATTAACAACCGCCTTCGGGGGGAATCAAACCATGGACCTCTGGAAAACCGGCCCAGCATGCTACCGTTACACCACGAAGGCAAGCTAGGGAAGTGGGAGAAATACCTTATACTGGTCACACGTAGCACATCCAACTTCAGTACTACGGTTTACCGTAAACCTTCATCGGTTTGCTTTCCACCACACCACACTTTAAATCATGTCATCCAACTAAACAAAAGTTAGCTTCATTTATTCCTATGTTTTCTGTGTTCTTCAAGTTTGCTCCTCCAAACTATCTCTTGATGAAGAACTAAATTATTTAAAAGCAATAGCTATTGACAGGGGCTTTTCACCCAACATTATTAATTAAACAGTTAAAAAATTCTCATCTCAACACACTAAAAGGCACACTCTTGTTTTAGGATATTATAAAAATTCTTTTGTCATTCCCTTCTTTCCATCAATTAGCTATAAAGTTGCACATATTTTTCAGAAATTTAACTTTCGGGTTGTTTATTCTCCCATCAATACAATTCCGAGTTCCATACACAAGGACCCCATTTCAGATATGAATTCCTGCGGTATTTATAGGATTCCTTGCCAGTGTGGTTTAATTTACATTGGCCAAACTAAGAGAGTCTTAAAATTTTGCATCAATGAACATGAGGCATATGGTAGAAAAAAGGAAACACAGAAGTCTTTTGTTGCCAAACATTGTTGGTCTGAAAATCACACTTTCAATTTTTCTGCTGCCAAAATTATTCAAAAAACATCTTCCATTGGAGAACTGGATTTTGTAGAGGCATTTCACATTAAAAAAAAATCATTCTGTTCTAGTTAACAATCCTAATTCCAATCCATCTTTGCCTTCGGCCTTTAAAGAAATTATGTTTTAGTTCTAGTTTTATCAACAGATGGTGCCACTAGCTTATCTTTTGTCCAGGTTTTCTTATCTTATCTAATTATCATATCCTATCTCGTTCATTTGCACTTTTGCAGCCGAGGATGGTGGTTCGGTAAAACCATCAAAACTAGTCCTGTGAAAATTTGAAAATATAATGCTAATTTTTGTTGTTTGACTTCTGAATTAATACATATGTACTTAAGTAATTATTTAAATCTATGGTATATTTTAAACAGGTAATTATTTTAACAGAACATGTTTAGAAGAAAAACCTGTTTTAAATAAAAATCAGCACTTTTCCAGCATTGGCTCCACAACTTTCAGAAGGATGAATGCTAGTAAATATTACAGGCTATGAAAATATTACTGATTCACAACAAACTTGACAATGATAATTTCACTCATAGCCAATGTAAAGTGCTGAAAATAAGCAATTATAAAATGCCTACCCAGATGCACAAAACTGACTACAATAAACAAAATAATACAACTATAAACCAAATTTTATTTATAAAGCTACATTTGCAAAGCAGCTGATTTTTAATTTTTATCTTTTAAAAAAGAAAGAAAAGCTCATTGAATACATTTCATGATCATAAACTACTAGAAGGAAAACTAAAACATACTGAAAGTAAAGGCTTTTCATAAGAAGATGACCAATCACATTTTCATCTAAGAACATGCACATATATGAGAACATTTATGACGATAGAGTTTAAAAATTTATTTTTTAGAATGCTAAACATATTCACAGTGATTTTTTAACAAAGAATATAACTGTTTAAATATTACTAATGCTTGCAATTACATTTTCTTCTTCTCCAACAGCAATCAGCTCTCGTGGTTTCATTCCATGAAGATTACATGCTTCAGACTGAAATAAAAAATATTTCTGATCACTCACCCTCAAATCAAAGTCTAGTATTTTACACATAAATATCATATACTAAAAGTTAATAGAGGAAATAATAAACATATAGAATTACAAACATGAATAAATTATAGCAAAATAATTGAGTTAAAAGACAAACAGCAAATACACACTTTAATTTTCTATTAACTATTTATCTACTAATATACTCAGTTAGGAGCATGCATAAAAGTAACTTCATTTTCCAAATTTTACCTGTTTAACTTATTGTTTAAGACATGACATAAACTGATTTGTTGGGGTGAGACATTTAGTGCAAAAAGACATTTTTAATTGCCATAATTTCTATAAAATTTCTTGATATAGAAATTACACAAAACTTCAAATAAAATAAAAATTTTAAGATTGCCAAGCAATTAGTGACATTAGAGCGACTGAGCTAATGAATATGTAAAACAATTGCATAAGACAAAAAATATGTGCAAACTAAACATAGTTATTTTTCAAATAACAGACATACGTAGATATATAGGCTGATAAAAGCTTTGAAACCAGTTATCTTATTTAGATGACTACTGGCTTTGCATTTTTTCTTTTTCAGATATGAGACTTTCAGACTGAATTCACTTTTTAACAACATTTTATAAATGTTTCAAAAAACGTGAAACAAACTAATTTGTGACATCCTTTTTAGCAGTACAGACATGCCATTTCTCATTTCTTACGCTGAAAAAAAATTTTCCACATATAATTGGCTTTTCAATGATGAAAATAACCTGAAATTACACATCACTTCCCAATAACAACATACCAAGATAAAAATATAGCTATAATATGCTTTTTATAGCATTTTAGTAGACTTCTTTCCCTTTAATTTCAAATAAGGATCTAACAATAAAAAAAAATGTATTTAAAAAAATTGAAAACAGAACATTTTAATTTTCATTACAAGAAGCACTACAAAATCTGACATACACACAAATTAAAAAATACAGAAAACATGAAGAACAGGTTGTATATAATATCGCTGTTTCAAAATCTTCTGATTTCAATTATAGCAAGATGAGGTCTATGAATTTCATTGTGACCAAGAGGCAAGGGTTGTCCCTACATCTGGCTTAGGCCTAGGGCACCTTACAGATGACAGCACAAATTTGTCCAACTTATCTTAATTTTGGTGAAGAATCTCAGGGGGGGATGGATCCGACCAGTCTTTTACCCTCTCAAGAGAATTCACACCTTAACAACATTTTAAGTACCCTTCATGCTACAAATACACTACATGCTTACAAACATCTGAGTCATATCTGGAGTTCAAACCCAACCCAAAGCTGCAACAGCCAGCTTCCTTATCACCATGCCAACAAAGCAACAAAGAGATAAATCAATGAATATTATGAAAATCAAAACTTTTACACATTTTTGTTTCTCTAATAGTCACAGAAGTGGTTGATATTCAATAACTTATACATAATAAATATTTGCAATACATGTGGAAATACTCAGAAACTGCTATATTTGACAATGGTATGCATGTCTCATTTACTAAATGGTTCAATCTGCATAGAAGAGGAATCAGCTTTCAGTCTTGTGGTTGAGGGTGAAGGCTTGCAGATGAAGACAACAATATATGAACTTGACAATGTTCATTTATTGTTTCGTTATTAATGTTCATATATTTATATATATGGATTTTGAGTCTTTATTTCCACACACAAAATCATCTCTATAGATGTTTATCCAATCATAAGACATTTCTGTGATTCAGTCATAATGAAAATATGATAAATTTCTATGTACATTGATTCTTAAAATTATGACGCAGGTAGTTTAGATGGGGAAGCAAAGTGAGGAGCTATTAGAAAGGTGGAAGCTAGGAAAAAAGTGACGTAATTAACTGCCAGGGTAATTTATACCAAGCCTGATGTACAAGTACAGCTAATCTAAGATTGGTTAGTAGTGTTACATAATGTAGAAAAATCTTAAATTTGGGAGAACAGATGAATTTAGGGGGAGATAAGAATAAAAGTGGTTTAACGACATTTTCAAAAGTGCTTATGTTATTTAAAAAGTGAAATATTAAAAATGGTGTCAAAGTGTGATTAATTTCTTTGGTTCCAAATTAACTGTTTAAAGTTATTTCCATCCAGGAAATCAAATGACAATATTGAAAAATGTGTTTTAACTGCACCCTTATAAATAACTTACTCAATAATTGGTTATATTTTGAAATCTGAAAATATAAAGTAGCACTGCTGTATGAAAATATCAAAATAAAATGCATAAGCATTCTAAGATTTTATTCAGGGAAGAATATTAAATTTTATTGTTATTAGTAAGTATAATTTTATCAAAAATTTTGAATTAATGTTTAGAATGAAATATTTTGTAACATGAAAGCATTTTGAATTTTTTTAATAAGATTATGTTTTCAATAAATTTTTAAGAATTTTTCTATTATTATTTTGAATAATGTACGTATGAAAATATAAATGAAATAATTATTAAATGGGAGAATATTAAATATTCTTAAATTAATATAGAAATACCAAAGATTTAAGAAATTGAATAATCATAATAACTTATATGATAATTTAATTAAGAATAAAATGTATTAAAATTTGTTTGGAATTACAGTAAATGAATGTTATAATTATCAATAATTGTATGTTAGATATAAATTATGTTGCGAGAGTACTGATTCAAAAACAGAAGCTCTGTTTTTATCTCTGTTATTTGTTCTTTTACCTTCCTCATATAATACTGTTACGTTATTTTCTTCCTATTCTTCTTCTGACACCAGTTGTTATGTTTTTTTTTCTTCCTTCACGTTCGTACGGGGTTCGTAGATTTGGAGTGAATCACGACGACACTTTATGAAGTATCGAAACACACTTTATTTGCCAGTATTGTCAGGACAGCTCCAAAACACGTTTTACTCTCGTTGAAGATCTACTATAAACACGCTGACACGATCAGCAACACAGCCTTCAGGTTATCAGGCTATCACGGTGGAGACAGCTTCCTGCAAAGCAGCTGACTCTGCTTTCCGAAGTACAGCTCCCGACTCTGCTTGGTCGTTCTCGGAACTCTGCGTACGCTCGAGACTTTCCACACTACAACTCTTGATGCACACAACGACACACGAGCACAGCTCCTGACTCTTTGGTTCAGTCTTTCCCGGAGCTCAACACGCTCTCTCGACGATGCACTAACCGCGATACACTAACAGACTCCTTCGGTGGACTCGACAACCCACTCAGCACTGCTGCCCGGCTGTCAACTCAATCGACTCCGCAGGGATTGACTCGTTAGACGAGGCACACACACGCTCGATGAGAGACACACTAATTACAGACCAGCAGGGTTTGTATAGCTTTCGGCTTGTGTTCGAGAACATTCTGGGCTAAACCGGTAAGAATTTGTTCCAGAAGATTCTCCATCCGTCTATAGGATATCGCCAATTTTGTTGCCAAATATCGCCAAATGGGCAATTTCTCACCAAATAGAGGTGTGTAATAATAGAGGGCAGCCCTGGCCTCATTGCTATTTTATGGCAACCCTAAAACTGCTTTGTGGGGAAGCCATCTTACCGTGCCTGTACATTTCGTAACAATACAAACTCTGAAGGTTAAATTTTTTATATCAGATTTTTATTTCTTCATATAATGGAGTGTTATTTTTTTTAATATAAAGGAATGTTGTGATGCAGTTCACAAAGGCCAGTTACATTATATAAGAAACGGAGGCCTTTTCAAGCAACTGCCCAAATAGCTGGATGGGTGTACAAGGAGAAAGCTCGTGGGGTTTTCTAGTTTGTGTAAAATAAGAAACTTGCACAATGTAATAATGAAAGTAAAAACCATACTTTCAATAATGCTTATTATAAATGATAAAATATTACTTAAAAATGAGAAAATTAGTATGTATCATGTAAAATGTTAAGATTTATGATTATTCATAATAATTAATGGGTACATAAAATTTTTATAATTGTGATATTGTGTGTAAAACGTTTTGGAACTCCTTCCCTAAAGTATCAAAATTGTGATGTAAATGTTCCAGAATCAAGAACTTTTTACAGATTGGACTCAAATTTTAATAGGACTTTAAAAATTTGCAATTATTTTAAAAGAATATAGTGTTTAAAATTATTACTGAATTCAAAATTTTACGACTTCTAATTTTTAATTGTTCAAAAGTTAATTTTATGTTTTGCATTTTCAACATTATCTCTCATATTTTGCTACTCTAATGCCTTTTCTCTCAAAAAAGCTTCTCTATCACTCTGCCTTTTTCTTTTGAAGGGGTGAATGTGTAAGATAAAAAATATGAAAGCAAACTTCTAAATTTAATTGGCTATAACCTCTTATTTTTTATTTAATTTGGGGACTTCCTCTCTCTGTCTAAAAATACCGCTATAAGTCTAAACTGCGTCATTCAAAGTAATCATGTGATCTTAGGTAACGCTTAATGCAGATACCTCTTGCCCAATCAAATAATTGTAAATCAAAACTTAAAACTGAAACTTTTCCGACTTTCTCCCTTCTTCCTCTGCATTACAACTCTGACACTCTGTCTCTTCTCGCTTATGCTTTCATCCTGGCAAGACGCTGCTGCAATCATCTATGTGCTGCTATGATCGCTTCTATCACAATAATATCAAAATTGCTCTGGAAATAGGCACAATATAAGTGCCAAGTGAATTATGGCCGCAGATGTGAGTTTAAATAAATACAGTTCAAAGTCCGTAATCCGGACTCATCGGGATTTCGGTGATTCCGGATTAGGGTTTTTTCCAAAATTATAGATCATCAATTTAAATCTCGTAAGACGACATGCAGAAATTATGCAATTAAAAATATGAAACCATAATTTATGAAATAAAGAGCAATTATGATCTAAAGGATATCAAAATTTACAATAAAAAAGCTTAATATTTATTTGTTTACTTTATTAAACATTTCTTTCAACGTGGGCATGTGTAATGTATGCGCATTCTTTACGTGCATGCGTAAAGCATACAAAAAAAAAGGTTTGTGGCTTTGAGGTCCGGATTATAGATCATTCCGGATAATGGACGTCCGTGTTACAGACTTTGTACTGTATAGAATTTAATCTGGCTTGACTGCTTCTTCTTCAGCATGGATGAACGCTCTAAGCATCAAGTATCTATTTATTATCAGTATTTCTGAACATCTACATCTCGGTGTTCTTATATCAGTGCTTTCCTAATTGTGCTATCATTGCATATATATGTGTGTGTGTGTGTGTGTGTGTAATAATAGATGAATTAAAGAAAAGATCAGGTCATAATAAAAGTTATATCAGTGACAGAATACATATTGGAATTCAAAAGTATTCTTATCATTTTAAAAGAAGTAAAACATCTTCCTAGTATTATTGTTAATTACAAATAAAATACCAATTACTTTACATATTTTTGTAATTAATGAATTTATAAAACAATTCTTATTGTACATTTTTGTTCTCAGAAAAATATGTTCCCTGTATATAAAAATTTTAAACTTGAACGATGAGCAGAATACTTATTTTCAGACAGAAAACAGAGCATTCTTTTTTTATATCTAATTTTTTTGAGTAATAATGAAATGATTTTAGTAAGTGTAAATTAAAAATGAAAGTTTCGTGATCTTTACAATTATTTAAAAGTTCAAGAAAAATCAATGCGGTAAGTTGAAATGTAGAATCTGTGATATTTCTTATGCAATGAGATATAACATAGTGCACAAAAAATTGCAATTTAAGACATGAAAACCTGTTTTATGTTAACTTACTTGAAATTTTGCATAAAAAATGCTACACAACTAAAGTGAATACAAACACTGGAGACCTACCTACCTGTCCTTACACTAAGAGACTTTTTAAATAGTAAAGATAATGGCTCATACTCATTTGAAAAATTTTTAATTGATAAAATGTCCAATACAAACTACATGATGGTACATGCCTTATTTTTGGACACAATTGCCACCACTGTTCAAGCATTTGTTAAATCTGGGTACAAGCTTTTGCATCTCACAGTCATAAAAGTTCGCTGCCTGTTTCAAAAATACATTTCAATCAGAGTTTTGATCTCATCATTGTTGTGAAAATTTTTGCCCTGCAAGATCTTTTTTCAAGTAAAGGAATAACTAAAAGCTGCTGTCTGAAATGTCTGGGTGGCAAATGATTTAGTTTCTTTTAAAAATGACTAAATTTTTTTAAACTTCACACTTGAAACAGTATACAAGAACAAGCATGGTCATGAAGCAAACAGACTCCACTTATCAGCATGTTCCTACATTTGCTTTGAATTGCTCATCAAAGGCATCTCAAAATCCTGTAATATGCTTTAGCGTTACTTGTAGTACCAGGAGGCATGAAATCAATCAGAAGAATGCCTTGTATGTCAAAGAAAATAAAAGCCCCTTAAAACTGAAAGTTTGAATTTCTTGCTTTTGGGGAAATTCAAATGGCACCACTGCAATGACTATTGCTCAAATTTTGGTGTACGGTGATAAACCCAAGTCTCGTCACCAGTAACAATATGATAAAGAAACTTGTCACTTGCTTCTACATAGTGTGTGAGGAAGTCAGTGTGAAGACCACCCATTTCTTTTGCGTTTTTCATTCACATTCTCGGAACCCAGGGCGCACACAAGTTCCTGTATCGCAAAGTTATAACACAGCTTTATGAAGAGTTGTTAGTACAATACTAGGCAATTCTTTTAATAAGGGAGACCTGTTTGCTTAAACTGCTTCCTGTTTTTTGAAGGACATCAGACACCATAGAGATGATATGCATATTCTGCATTTGTCATGAACATCAAGCTTTACCTCCAGAAAAAGCATGACACCATTTCATTATAGGAGAAAACAAAGGCTTAAGGTTATAATCAGAGCTGCAAACAAGCTTACCAAAAGGTTTTCTTTCCTGCAGTGTTTGATGTCTGCAGTCTTTACTTTTCAAAAAATGTCTCATATATAATTAATTCATTGAAAAAGAGCTCAATCACCAATTTAATTATTTTAAAAATTTCTAATGCAAATTACTTCTATACATATTCATAGTATCATTCAGCATATGTTTACATACAGATATACTAATTGCACTTGCTTTTTCTGTCGTTTTGAGAGCCACTGCTTGTTCCAGAAGTAGCAATTCTATGATAGTGAGTGACAAAAATAAAAATATTTCCTTTTATTAATAAGCCCGATAATTAGCACATGGTGGTGTATTGTTGAATTTTAAAAAATTATTTCAAGTATAATGTTATTTTAAAAAAATTAAATTAATTTAATTTAATTAGTAATTTAAAAAATTAAATTAGTAATTATTACTAAATTTTATTTCTGCTGTATTAAATTTTAAAAATACTGTTTGTTACATGAATTGAATTTTGTAAGTCAAACAGCTGCACATTTCTCAAGAGGAATATCACTGGTTTTATCCAAACTATGTCTTTGTGACAGCAATATTTTAGAGGGGAAACCAGAAGGGAAACCAGAAATGCTTGAAAAGTTTTATCTCCCCCCCCCTTTTTTTAACTCTTTCGCATCGAGAGAGGGCAAAATCTCAATTCCCCAAACATCGAAAACGCCCATATCTAAGAATTTCTCCTGGAATGCTTTTCCTTCCCCCATGACAAGTTGAATACTACAGCGCTAACAATAGCCTTACTTAAGTAAAGCGAGAACTTCTTTCTTTTATGCTTTGACACTGTGTGAAGTTCCCTCTTGGGACGGGATTGCAACTTCGGGCATCAAAAGCTAAACACTGACAGTAAACAAAGGAAAGGAAGGAACAAAGGAAACAAGGAAGCTACTTTTAGTAGCTTCAAAAGAATGATTGACATGTGATTTAACAACACCTGAAAGCAATGAGTAATTGCAGTAACGTGATGGGGGAAAGCGCTGGGTAGGAAATTATTCAGGCGTCCAGCCGATGTCTGAATGTTTGGGCGTTTGGGGCGACTTCGATGCGAAAGAGTTAAAGAACTGTATAAGAACTATAGAAGAAAATTAGAAAATGAAACTGAACTAAATATATATAGTATATTTCAATATACTTCAGGAGAATGAATTAGGAAAACATCTCCAACTTAAATACTGACATAGCCGGCACACTTTTTTCTTTTAAAATAAAAATGCCTAAAATGTTTTTAATTAGATTAATATGTGAAACATATAACCTTAGAAAACAGTGTATATTACATTATGAAAAATTAATTGCAATTGGTTATTATATGCCAGAGAGGAGAAAAACTGATGGCCTGCATGGCAGTTGGCTAATACTAATGATATCATTCATTAGAAAAACTAAAAGAAACAACTACTAATAAAAACGAAAGTACAAATATCTAGGTGAAAATAATTTTTATAACTCCATTTTTCCAAGATCCACAACATTATTGGATGACATATAAACACATCTTTCAGCACTTTGGTTACAAAGAAACAATTAACTACAAATATCAAAATAATATGCTTTCTAAGCAGTTACAGATTCTGAAAATCATCAGTAAGGAAAGGAATTCAAATACTGCTCAAATTTTTAATGCACTTGTATCACACATATATGAAATAAATAAATAAATAAATAAAAATGTCAGTTTTTAAAAAGGGGAAAAAATTACTTTACCTTTACCATTACAGGAATTGCTCCAAGACACTTTTTAGGTATATCTTGCACTACACCATTCAAGCTCCAAGCAAATGTAAGCTGAAGATCTGCTTTATAAGTTGATAAGCGAGACCGACACTAATGTGGGAGGGAAAAATTGTAATTATATGAGAAACTGGTAACAAAAATTACAAAAAACAGTACATGTAATTGGGTACTGTTCTGTAATCAGGGTCGTTGCCAAATTGTTTTGCTAAACTCGCCACAAGATTGGTTCATATAAAGTCGCCAATGTTTAAAGTCATTACAATGCTTACTTTTTCTAAAAAGCAAAAGGATGCCTTTTCAAATTTAGCAATGAGACTATAAATTCTAAAAATGTAACAGTAATTTGTGTTTCTATTATTATTGTATTTACAATAAATATGAAATTTGGGACTTACCCCAATGATAAAATTTTTTTCAGCAACAAGGAATTATTTCCTCTTAAAAAAAGAGCACTAAAACCCTAAATTGTAGCTCTACTTTAATTCAGAGGAAGCACCAAAATGGAGATAAAAAGATACAACATCTCAAAAAAAAAAAAAAAAAAAAAAATGAATACGTTTGCACTGTTACTGATTAGAACAGTACCATAAACAAAGTCTTTGGCCATGCATTGATATCTAGCCTGTCAGTTAAAATAAACAGCACTGATTATTGAAGTTGACAAAAGTCTGTTTTCACATTAAAAAAAAACAAGGTTAGTCAGTCATATCCTTCTGCCTCTTGGTGTACAGCGGGATTTGCCAAGAAACAAAACAATGCTTTAGTTGCTGTGCCTAAACAACATGCCAGAACCAGTTATTGAAGAAAATATTATTGATGGCACTATAATATATTGAGACTGTTGGAAAAGGTACAACACTGAAGGCTGGATTTGAACATTTCCATGAAACAATTGAAAGGTTATGGGTAGTGCAAATAGCAACACTGACTGTAACCAGTTAAGATTCTAATTTAATTGATTTTATGTGGTGGCAAAAGCATCCTAAAACGCAAGTGTTTTCAGACATTTCAAATGATGTCTGCAGTTTCATGACTCCGTGCTTATCTTAATTCACTAGCCGAAATTTTTTTCCTGATTTCTTTGGGCAGTTGTTTAATTTACATTAAAAATTTCTAATTTTACGGAAATTTTTTATTTTTGTCCCCTTGGATTTTTAACTTAACCGCATTATACATACATTAGCAATTATTTTTATGCTTTGAAATTTTTGCCAAGTTGTCAGCTTTTGGCAATATCTGAATCCAACAGAAAAATCATTGCAATCGTTTTTATTTCCTGCTGTAATGCCATTTTTTTATATTTGATTTAATTAAACTGCAGCTTAGAAGAGACTTCAATACCCAAGATACTAAAATATGGCAATTTGTATTACTTCAATTAATTAGCTATGGACTCAGCCCTCTTTAAATTTGAAATTATATCTACCAAAAGATATTGGAAAGATTGTATAAATGTAAAATGTGTGAGATAAAATAAACTAAACATACTGATATGCCTTCTTAAAAATAAAACAACATAAATAAAAGTTTTAGTACGCAGAAATTTTAATATCATAGTACAGTTGAGAGAATTTTTTTAAATATGCCTTTTTTAAGTAACTAAATAAATAGTAACATAAACAAACTTACAAACAATAGCATAAATAAGCTAATTATTTAAACGTTTAAATTACTACTTGAAGTTTTTGCACTGAATTTATTTATTTTAGATCTAACTATCTATATTGCTGTTAGAATACCCTCTTGTAACTTATTTTGAGACCAGAAATGGCAAGAGATTTTGAACAATTGCTATGAATCATTACACATATTTTTCAGCAATGAGTAGGTTATATATAAGTGACATTACCATGAAATTCAATAATTCACATTTATTTTCATAGATACTAATTTACTCTTTTTCCAAACAAAAGAAATAATAGAAGAAATTACATACACTACACAAAAAAAGGGAAGGACAGTTCTATATCTCCCGTTCTACTGGGCTGATTCATGAAATCCAAATTGTGTTTTCAGTGTCTCGAAAGCATGGCTTACAGTATACTATATTATGTCAAAATACCTATATTTGAACATAGCATTGTTCAAATATAGGTATTTTGACATAAAATCAGACTTTTTCTGAAATGACATGCCAATTTTTTTTTCCATATTTTGATTCTACAACTCAAATTATGCCTAAATATTAAATTCTGTAAAATTTGGTGCGAAATTTATGGAGAAATTCAAAAATTAATCTTGCCACTTTTTTTTTTCAGTGCGCACAAAGAATAATTCACTTGACAAATTTCTTAAATTATAGCAATTTATTTTCCTTCCCTTTTTTCAATTGTGTATGAGCGAAAAAGTCATCAAAATTTTGAATAAAAAACCTTTTTTTTTTGCAGGTATGCTTAAAAATACATCTAATTTAAGATGATGGTAAAAATTTTATAGGATATGATTTAAATTTTTTTCGAAAATTTAATTTAAATAAAAAACAAAAAAAAAAAAAAAAAAAAAAAAAAAAAAACAAAAAAAAAAAAAAAAAAATAAAAAAAAAAAAAAAATCAACAAAAAAAAAAAAAAAAAAAAAAAAAAAAAAACAAAAAAAACAAAAAACAAAAAAAACAAAACAAAAAAAAAAAAAAAAACCCCAAAAAAAAAAAAGGAATAAATAATAAAAATTTAAATTTGAATGAACCTAAATTTTAAATTTTTTGAATGAAAAAAAACAAAAATCTAAAAAAAATTTGAAAAAAAACATAAAAAAAAAAAAAATACAAAAAAAAAAAAAAAACAAAAAAAAAAAAAAAAAAAAAAAAAAAAAGAAAAAAAAAAAAAAAAAAAAAAATCAAATAAGCTTAATAAAAAAAGAGACATTAATAAATATATACCAAATTCAATTAACAATGAGGAGCTAAAATTTTGTGAGCTAAGTTTTTAAAAACTACTCGTGTGAGTTTTACAAAACTTGGCACTTTTGGCATAATTGAGTCGTGTAATTGAAATATAGAAAAAAAAATGCCATGTCAATTCAGAAAATGTCAGAATTTCTGTCAAAATAATTATATTAGAACAATGTTATACATAAATCTAATATGTATATACTAAGTCGCGCATTCGATACATGAAAAACGCAAGCTGAATTTTGTCAATCAGTCCAGTAGAACAGGACATATAGAACTGTCCCATTCCCCCCCCCACACACACACATTCTACAGCATAAACACATTTCACATAAGTGATTTTTCATATTTATTATTACCTCTGCTGGATACATTTTATATGTAGTTGCACGTGCTGTTTTTTTTATAGTTGGCTTCTCAATGTAGCAGTCCTACACAAAAATAGACAGCATATCATTACATATTTTATGATTAAAAAACTGGTATTAAATTAATTTAAAGTATATGATTATGATTACAAAAAGTACAATTACTAGTTAATAATTTTTGAATAATTACATATAAATGAAGCCATCATAAAAATTATATCTAATGTTCATCTATGATATGACTTTCTATCAAAAGATTCCTTCTACCTAAATCAACAGTTGGTGGGTTTTTTTTTAAGGAAATAGACGCATATTTTATTTTCTACTAAAATTTATATCTTTTGAGTCATACATCTTAACAATTGCTATCTAAAACTATTAAGCATTGTAGAAAAAACTTCTTTATATAGTTTAGTAAAAATGGCACTGTAATTTGTGAAGAAAAAACTACCCAGCATAAGGCTCCAGATAAAAGGGCTTGAATTTTTTAAAGCTGGTTATTTATAATAAATTAACTGTTAATTTATAATTAAAGTTTGCACATATGATACTTTTTTACCTGTGGCTGATATAATGAAACTGTTCAATAATGAAACATTGTAAGCACAAGGGAGTACCTGCCCGCAATTGTTTAAAAAAAAAAAGAGAGAGAGAGACAGAGAGAATGAACAGATCTAAATGCCATACCTTGAGGTAAAATGAAATATTTTCTTTTCTGAAACACAGACGTTCAACATCTGGAATGATCTAACATCTTCCCCCCCCCAAATTCCCTTACACAGTCTAGGAATGGAGAATCTAACACTCAACAAATAGCAGGTGTGCCATAAATGCAATTTTCTACTAAGATTCTTACATACTGCTTTAAAACACTTGTCAGTAGAGAATTGCCCCATTGCCAGACAATATACTAAATGATGCTGTACTGACACTGACCACCACCAAACTTTCAGCCAATGAGTGAATTTGAGGGGTTAGTATTTTTCTATATGACCAAAAAAAAAAAAAAAGTGTGAATGTATCTTAATACATTAGTTTCGAAAGGGATGCTGTTCCTAATTTTTTTTTTTTTTTTTTCAAAAGCCAAAATTTTTCATGAGGAAATTGACTTCAAAATCAAGTGCACATATTTAACAGGTTGGCTAACTGAATTTAAAAATCACTGTGGTAAAAGGCAGTTAAAAATTTCAGGCACAAAAAAGCTTCAGCTGATACTGAAAAATCTGAACAATTTGCAAATGAATTCATCAGTTTCCTTAATAATGAAGTATTATCTCCAAAATTCATTTATTATTCCTGTGAAACTGGTCTTTTCTGGCAGTAAGGACCCTGAAATACCTTGGCAACCTTTGCAAAATAGGCTCCAACTCATATCAAAGATTCCAAAGTGAGACTTATGTTTTTAGTATATGCAAATGTTGTAAGAATGCACAAATATAAATTTTTTGTAATCGAGGAGGGGGGCACAAACTTTGACATTTAAATGAGTAAAGCTTTTCCTTATCGTCCGTCATTTAAATAAAAATGCATAGATGATGTAAACATTAATGAATGACTAATTTGGAAATGATTTTATATCCGAGGCTGAAATTTGAAATTGGTTGGTTTACTAAATGACACAAAAACTGTCCTGATTATATACAACTTCAGTTAAAGTTTTACTAAAAGGCAATGTTCCAGTCTTATTTTTCCTCTAAAAAAATACATCCATCAATCTGCAAACACATATGAGTGCAGCATGCAATATAATGCAGATACAGACTGCCTTTTTAAAATTTATGTTAAATATTTTTCAACAATGGCAAGACCATTCTAAAAATATTTTAACATAAAATCTGCTGTATAGAGCATTCAAGTTCAGGGATTGCCTGCCTGCAATTGTTTAATAAAAAATACTTGACATAATTTATGGCCAGCTATTATATTTGATGATAACAGCCCCAAATTTGAAGGTTTTTGTATCTCACAAGCAAAAGGCAAAATTTTTCTTGTGGATGATATAACAAACTTTCCATTGCGATGATAATTCCCAATCATCAATCAACTAATAGATGGCAAAATCTGTGGTATGCTTTTAAATACAGTGAAGAAAGTAACAAATAGGTTGTTGAAAATTAAAAGATTTTAATTAACAGTTTAGTGGAAACTCCTGGCATGGCAACTGCAGCACTTGAACAAAGGAATTTTATAACGGAACAAGAATTTGCATCTCTCTAAAATATTATACAGAAAGCAGTAGCACAAGAAACAGCTTAAATAGCTTACATTAGAAAAAATATTTAATAAAACAACAAAATATTGAACTTTTTTGTAAATTCTGATTTCCCTTAAAATCATAAATGCTTCATTATTTCAGAAACAACTATTTCATATTTTCAAGATGGGTCATGCAGAATTAAATTTTTTTATACTTTTTTATTACTCGTAAAATTTGTTTAATATTGGAAGAATAAATTTTTAATACTGTAAAACTTTAATTGGAGCCCCGTTCAGCCAAAGCAGATTTAAAAACAGGAATTAATGGTTTAATGGACAATTTTGCAGGACATGAAGGAATATTATATGGCCCTGGCACTGCAGACTAAGCTTATATTGTGGTACGTTTACTTAACATTAAATTATTGCCCATGACTTGAGCTTAAAATATTATTAAAAATCAATAATAAGTATTGTTCATAACAAATTGTTTGTAAAAAAATAAATAAATAAATAAATAAATAAAAATAAAAAATTAAGAAGTCTTGAATTAGAGAATTGAGCAGCTATTTTGAATTTTTATAAACACACACAATATATATATATATTTCTGACATAGCATTTATCAACAATATTACAATGTTCTTTACCAAAATTTAACAAACCTTTCCACTTTTTTTATGAATAAATTCACAAAAAAAGTCTGTTTACATGACCCTCTCCTCTTATGATTCAAAGTCCTGACGATTCTGAATCTTAAACTTTATATCATACACAATTTTTAAATAATAGTCAGCAGATATAAGTTAAGCAGAGTTTTCATAAACACAATTTTAAAAAATGATCTTATATTTGGACCCAGACAGCACATTTACAATTAAATTAATTTATTTCAACTAAAGATCATTGAGATTTAGTAATAGATTTAAATATTTTAAGAAGAAAGTGCAGTATATTATTAACCTACTTGAACTACTCTGGAATATACACTCTTAGACAACAAAAAAAACGCCACACTGTGAAGATATAAAGCAAATTGGACACAAATTGATATGCATACAGGTTTCGATGGAAAATGCAAAATTTTGCATTTTGGCTGCCAATGAATGAATGGTTGTCACTACAGCACATCTGATCTGTGCAACTGGCAGTATATTTAAGACGAGAAATTATGATTCCAGGTCATAAATTCTTCACAAATTTCATTCAGTGTACTTTGGTAGACAGTAACTATGCCTCACATACAGGTGAGTGAACGATATGCACAGACGTCAGAATTTGATATAGGTTGTGTAGTTGAGCTCAAAGAAGCCGGTTGGTCTTATCAGCAAATAGCTCGACATTTCAAAGGAGCGATGGCACTATTAGACAATGTTGGCAGAAATGGGCGAACCATGGCCGCACACAGCGTCAAGAAGGAAGCGGTAGGCCTAGAGAAATGACAGAACGTGAAGACCGAGCAATCATCAGAGCGGCATTCACAACTCCACATGTATTATCATCAGTTGCACGTGCAACTAGTGCTTCAATGACCGCAAGGACTATTCATAGACGGTTCACAGAAAGGGGGCTGAGGTCACGGCACCCCTTGCACCAACTACCATTGACCTCTGTACAACGTCAAACCCATTTGCAGTGGTGTTAGACTCATTCACACTGGAATGTCACTGACTGGAGTAGAATAGTCTTCAGTGGTGAATCCCACTTTGAACTGAGCCCCGATGACCAGCGAAGCCGAGTCTGGAGATGCCCCGAACAGCGGTGTGATACCAACCTGACTCTCTTCCGGCAGACAGGCCTGCAACCAGGAGTGATGGTCTGGAGTGCCATTTCATTTCATAGTAGGACCCATTTGGTTGTCATCCGTTGCAACCTCATAGCACAGTGGTATGTTGACAAAGTTCTAAGGCCCGTTGTGTTGCCCTTTATGTTATGCCACCCTGGGCTTACATTTCAGCAAGATGCCTGCCTCCACATTGCACATGTTTCTACTGCTTGACTTAGTGCTTGCCGAACATTACCTTGGCCAGCAAGGTCGCCGGATCTCTCTCCTGAGCACGTTTGGAGCATTATGGGCAGAGCTCTCCAATCAGCTCAGGATGTTGATGATCTAACATGCCAGTTGGACAGAATTTGGCACGATATCCCTCAGGAGGACATCCGCAACTTCTATCAATTGATGCCATGCAGAATAACTGCTTGCATAAGGGCCAGAGGTGGACAAACACGTTACTGACATTTTCACTTTGTGAAGCTCTATCACTTCAATAAATCATCCAATTTTTCTCAAACTGTAATCAATTGTTTTTCTGTACACGTACATCACTTCTACCGATTTTCGTCCCATTCTGATAACTCCTTCTTGGTGTGTCATTTTTTTTTTTTTTTTTTTGTCTAAGAGTGTATTAAAAAAAATTGCCTTTGCTTCCAACATTTTTTAGTAAACAAAAATATTTTGAAAAACTGTAGGAAATAATATTTTGGCAATTCTTGAAGGATAAAGATGAATAAAAAATATTATATACAGTAAAAGCCCGACTATCATAAAGTAACTGGAATATATTAGGATTTTAGAAAAAAAAAAAAATCTTTTCTCTCAAAAATGAAGTAAATGAGAGATTTGTAACACCAGTAAAGTATATTATTAGCACTTATACATTATCACCAAATAGTGTGATTTAGTGCAAAAATTGGAGAATCATGATGTCATAACACAATCATAAGAATTTTATGTTGGTTTTATGTAAACCAAATTAATTCTCGATAACCAGTTTATTTTCACAAAAAAGGACATATGCTCTATTTTTTCATTGCATTTTGAAAAATGATTAATATTTTCGGTCACCTTTCATGGAACAGTATGAAATTAATAGGGTAGTTTCTAAGTTACAGGATCCTGGCAGCAAAAAAAGGCACAATGTGCAACTTTACTTGAAAACAACAAAACAATGGCAATGCAAGGTGACAAAGTGTGATAAGCAGTTAAGATTTTATACGTTGTATCCATAAATTGTATCTGTTTAGGTAAAGAATAATCTGTTCCATTAAATTTCTACCAAAATGACTGGTGCAAATTTGGTGAAATCTGTGCAAAATAGCACAGTCAGCAGGATTTCATTATCAGATAAGATGTTTTACTCTGACTCTACACAATTTCAACTTAAACAGGATGTGTATTTGATAACACTCACCCTCCCTTCCAAACAGAAACGTCACAGATCAAATGCTACACTTTCATTATATTTATTTTAGTTACATACTTCTTACAATTGTAGATAATTAGTCTCAAGCAACAGTAAAATATTCAAATTCTATGAATATGCAGAACGACTCCTTAAAAGATGTTTAAATTTTCAAGTTACTGAAATGAGTTACTTACTCTTAATTCCACTTTAAGATGATCCCCATTTGGAAGACCCATTTCCAATGGTTGAATATTCTAAAACACAAATATGATAAATAATTGAGCGGAAGAAAAACTTCTGGAAGAAATTCAAGTACTTATGATAACACAACCACCTTCGTGCAATTTTGATATTTTTTACAAATAAGGTAAAAGTTGCTTATTGGGTGCAAGCTTCTGGTTTCTGTGGCTTTTTTTTTTTTTTTTTTTTTTTTTTTAGAAAGATTAACAAACTCTCAATATTTATCATAAGTTGGTAAACATTATCAACATATGAAAAGAAAACATACTTTAATAATTTAATATAACAATTTGAACTATTAAATAAAGATTACATGATACTACATTCTTCTTCAAATCCTTCTGTAATTTTTCTGTGCTATTCTTTTTTCGAAGTACACAGTGAAGTTTTCCCCTTAAAACAAAAATCAAAGAAATGCAGAGACTCAGTTTAGTACAGCTCTTGATAACATATGCTATCAAGGAAACACATTTCCTCGTTGTTACCTTGAGAAAATTTTCAGCAAAATTCTGTTTTTGCAGAAATTTTACCGCAGTTTCTTCCATTGCTGGCAAATTTTACAAGCTCATATTTAAATTTAAGGCAAAAAATATCATGAATTCTTTATACAAACAGTTAAAACTTGAAATGAAAAAAAAAAAAAAAAAAACTATATGAGGACAGCAGTATTGCTTGGCTGAAGGACTGTTATGAGAATGGTTGTGAAAGTTTGCATATTCTGAAAATTTGGTGACATCTAAGGTGGTAACATTAATGCATAAGTACCAAAATTTATCTACTACAATTATGAGAGAATAGTTTAACCTGAATCAAAATAATAACAATCTCTGTGGGACTTAACTTCTGGATGCTGCAACTAGAAGAAAACTGAATAATTATAGCTGATTATATACTCAGAAAATTCAAATGGTAACTTAATTACGGCTAATTTTTGTTAAAGAAATAGCTATGAGAAAGAAAAGCTACACACAAATCTCAGACAGAGAATGTTTGGGGGAAACATTTAAAATCACATAAATAAGGTATAAATAGTCTAAACAGGCAGCTGAAAAGTTATAAAACTGAACTTAAAAATGTTTTCTGTCACTTTACAGCAAACCATAAGTATAATTTCATTGATCTTATAATTGACATCCATTCCCAGAATACAGAATGATTATGATGATCTGAAAAATGTTACAACAAAAAATGTAAAGATATGGATTGCCATCACGTGGAGTTGGTAGAATTAACGTGAAGCCATGATAAATATCTTCAAATCATTAGCAACTGTTATGACCATCAGAGAACATTTTTAAAAAATAAATTGCTTCTTTAAATATACCGGGTGGCCATAATTAAACTGACAGTGCTCACAGTGTTCTGTAGCTCGATCTATTTGCGAGAATGACGCCACATTTTGTAGGAAGATTAAACAAGACGGGGGACGAAGGATTCCGCGAAAAAACAAATTAGTTCCAAAAGTCACCGCTAGGGGAATATTTGGCGCTGTGTAATAGAAAATAGAGTGTTAACAAATGCAAATTAATACGGAATAAAATTACCTTTTATTATGCACATTTTCTGATTTAGTTCAAGTGCAATATGGCAACACTTTTAAAAAAAGCGTAAAATCTACATAAACACCGATAAAGTCTCGTGATCTGCAATATCACGTACGCTGAGCAGAAGTTCTTTATTCAAATTTCACGTTACATCCATTCGCACAGTGCCAGCTGCTTGGGTTTTAAAAGGCAATGTGTTACGTTTCGAAACAATCGGATTGAAAGTTTATGTGCAATGTCTCCTTCTTTAGTCGAGCGTGCCTTACTGGTCAAATTCTTTTACCTCAACCAGTGCAACGGGTCAGCTGCTCTTCGTGCTTTTAAAAAGCGCACAAAAAAATGCGTAAAGGTAACGGCCCTGTATCAGTTAATGGGCTAAAAGCAATGGTTGCGTCGTTTGAGAAAACAGGTTCTCTGAAAGTTGTCAGGCAGAGGACAAAAACCTGTATTACGTATTTCCGGAGTCATTCTGACTAGAGGGCGCTGTGTTCGTCCTAATAGTCAGTGGCAGGCAGGATACTAAAGGTGTAAGACGTGGAAGGCAGAGATGCCTAATAATATATCTCTAATTGATTGAAATTTTCGTATATTTTCTTGTAAATAAATATTGTTATTGTTAAAAAAACCTCTTATTATCTCTTGGATGCACCTTTAGTCTCACAGAACCATTAGAAGCAAAATTGGTGCATCTTGTCCGCGAATGTGGAATACCGGAAGCAATTAGTCATCATTACTGGATTATATTTCTGAGAAGTTTGGATACTGTATACACGTTTTTGGATACGTAACATTGCATACTGGACTGTGGAGGTAAGATCTTTTGAACTCACAAATTCTGAGGTAATATGGATAAGCTTTCGAAAATAATTGAAAAAAGAAGTAACGTTCGCGCTAGTGTTACTAAACTAGTTAAAAGAGTGCAGAAGCTTGATGAAGCCGTCGAAGACGTAAGTTCATTATCAGAACTACTGGAACTATTAGAAACGAAAGAGCAGATCTCGAAAGGCCATGATTTAGAGGTGGAAGCACTCATAGACGATCCGGAAAAATTTAAAGGTGAATTAAAAGCTTCGGAAGAATACGATGACAAAATATTGTTAGCTAAGATTAAAAAAAAAAACTAAAGAGCAAAATTAAAGAATTAGCAGCAGAAAATGTTCAGCGGACTTCTTCAGTTCTTAACACATCTAGTGTTTCGGAAAACACCGTTACGGCTTTAAAATTACCAAAGTTAGAAATTTCGCGATTCTCTGGTGATTCTGGCAAATTTATGGAATTCTTAAACTGTTTTGATAGCGCAATCGGTTCAAACAATTCACTTACGAAAATTGAAAAATTCCAATATTTAAAATCTCTTCTTTCTGGTCCTGCATATAACGTTGTTGCGGGTTTTGAATTAAATGAGAAAAACTATGACTCATGTCTTGAGCTTTTAAAACAAAGATATGGTAGAACTGATTCTATTATAAATTCTTACATGACTAAATTATTAAGCTTAGAACCCGTGAGAAGTTCGTCTAATGTTAAGGGTTTGCGTAAATTATACGATGAAATAGAAGTTAATATAAGAAATTTGCGTTCATTAAATGTAACGGAGGGTTCATATGGGCATTTATTGAATCCATATTATTGAAGTTGCTACCACAAGATTTGGTGTTAGATTTTCACCGAAAACGAAACAGGGAAGTGAATTGTGAGGTTTCGGAAATTATTACGTTTTTGAGGAATGAAGTCGAATCTAGGGAAATTGCCGAAACTGTGATGAGCCCCCTAAAAAGTTACGAAACAAAACGATCCTTTTCCCAAAATTATCAAAGTGGTCAAACTTATCAGAAAAAACTATTCAAAGCCTAAAAATATATCAACCGCTTCAGCGTTAAATACACAAATAAAAAATGTTTGTTTATTCTGTGACGGTCATCACGATTCCGTAAGTTGTAAAAAATTGGATGTAGAACAAAAAATAAATAAGCTTAGGACTGAAGCTAGATGCTGGTGTTGTTTTCAAAAATATCACATGTCTCGCGTATGCAGGGCAAAAATATCGTGTAAAAATTGTTTAAGCAATTTTCATCATGAGTCAGTGTGTAGAAAAAATAAACCCGTTAATGTTACGATGAAAGGTTGTGAGAAGCGAGTGGAAAGCGAAACTGTTTTGAATGACTCACAATCTAAATCTAATAAAAGCGCCGAGAATATTTCTGTGTCTCATAGTAATATATGTACCAAAAATAAGCCCTTTTTACAAACATGTACAGTTTTAGCCTGTTCGGATAAAAATTCAGTCTTAACTAATGTTATTTTAGACAATGGTAGTCATCGAAGTTTTATTTCATCTCGATTAGTTAAAGAATTAAAATTAAAGCCAATACGCTACGAAAGAATAGCTATTTTTGCTTTCGGAGACAAAATAGCACATGAGAAGGAATACGGTATCGTTTCATTGACGTTGCGCAATAGGGATCAAAGTTCGAAATCGTACGAGTTAGAAGCTGTCATAACGGATTATATATCTAATTTGTCCTTGAAAATTCCTAATGTATCTATTCGTAATGCGTTGAAGGAAAGAGGTTTACCTTGAAGGAAAGAGAAGGTTGAAGGAAAGAGGTTAATGGCTGATTCATTTTCTGGCGACTGTCAGACGGAAATACTTATCGGATGTGATTCATTTTGGGATGTTGTTTATGACCAAAGAGTAAAGTTAAATGAAAACATTACTGCGATAAATTCTTGTTTCGGTTGGTTACTAGTGGGAGTGCAAGGAAGTAATAAATTGACTAATAATTAAGAAAATGTATGTTTAGTCATGGACTCTTCTTCCATTTTGTGCGATTTGAAAAAATTTTGGGAAATAGAAGAATTTCAGTCAGACAAACAAAACTTTTCTGAATGGGACAATCAATTGATTGAAAAATTTGAAAATTCTCTGGAATTTAATGGGGAAAGGTACGTTTGTAGATTGATGTGGAAGGAAAACTTGGGACCTGCAGTTGGGTTGAATTCTAATTATGAGGTTGCGAAAAAGCGTTTTGATTCGTTAAAGCAAAAACTAAATAAAAATCAAGAAATTTATGACCAGTATAAACAAATTATATCGGATCAGTTAGAATGTCAGATTGTGGGAAAATGTGTTAATGAAGATAAAAATTCAGGATATTATATGCCCCACAGAGCGGTAATTAGGGATGACAAGGAAACAACTCGAGTTAGAATTGTTTATGACTGTAGCAGTAAGGCTAATGAAAATAATAAATCTCTTAATGAGTCTCTAGAATCGGGAGTAAATCTTTATGCAAATTTATTGGACATAATTCTTAAATTTCGAGAATATCAAGTTGCATTTTGCGGAGATTTAGAGAAAGCTTTTCTTATGATAGAGATTGCGGAGGAAGATAGAAAATACCTTAAATTTTTGTGGTTTCCCGAAGAGGTAGGTGATTCAACCGAAACTCTCCATTTAAATCGTCTCC